CCAGAGGCTTTCTCCTTCTATTCCTATTGGTGTGCTGATGTTTCAAGATCCAGCGGGGTGTGCTGGGCCTCCCTGGGCCTCCCCGGGGTCTCTGTGCCGAGGCCCCCACGCACAGGGCTCCCAGCCCAGATGTCAAGCGTCCCCATCACCACTTTCCTGCCTGCTGCTCTGTCCTGAGAACCATCTGAGCCTCCTCCCCTCACCCCCTCCCTGACCCCTGCTCGTCCCAGGCCCTTCCTGTCCTCCCCTTGCCCTCCTCCCCTGCTCCCCTGGGACCTATCAGCGCTCACTCTCCACCTCCACAGCTGCCACCACAGCTGGTCCCTGACGGAATGTGCAGCTGCTGAGAGCCACATGTGCGGAACAGGCAGTGCGCGGCTACCCCTGGGGCCGTGCGGGGGTGGGGGGTGGGACCATCTGTCTGTGTCTGTTGGTCTATCCACTACACACACACACACACACACACACACACACACACGCCTGACCTCCTTCTCGAAGGATGGTGGTGGACAGTATCCATTTAGTCCCTTTCTCTGTTCCTGGGCTGAAGCATTCATGCTCCCTCTATGGGGGTCCAGTGGTCCCAGCTTGGGGTCCCTGAGGGCACACTGGTTGGACTGGTCCAGCGCCCCTGTGTGCAGGCAGCCCAAGGCCACCACCACCACCCCACCGCCCCCAGGCTGCAGAGGTCCAGGATGGCGGCCTGGGTGATCAGAGCCTCCCTTTCTTTCCCAGCCCCTGGGGGGTGGCCTGCAGTGGAGGAAGCCAGAGGCCTCAGACACATTCCAGAGCCCCCTGGGCAGCGCCTGAGGCTCCAGAGGAGTCTCAGCCCTGGGGCAGCGCCAGCGGCATCTGTCCTGGTTCCCACACTCTGGCCTCTGGAATCTCCACAAATTTCTCTTCCATGTGCGCATGATGTCAGCAGGACAAGGACACTGGGGGTGGAGAGGAGCCGAGGAGGCTATGCTCCCTGAAGTCTCATGGCCGTGGGGAGTGGGGCTGGGGGAGAGCCCACCCAATAAGGGGAGGATGACTTGGCCTCTCACTCCCAAGCCCAGTGCATTCCCATCAGAGCCCCTTGCCATCTCCAGAGCCTCAGTTTCCTCATCTGTAAAAGGGAAATAAGACTAGCAGCTATCTCCTAAGTGTAATATGGAGGCTATAACATCTTGAGCCTTGGTGGAGAGGCTTCATGGTCCAGGCACAGCTCCCTCTCTCACCACTCCCCTGACCTCCACCCCGGTCCTGCCCTTTCTCATATGTTTTAGAACACATAACATAGGTTCATAATTCTGAGTCCATAATCTGTCCAGCTTGAAAGCCCTTTCCTTTCTCTATCCAGAAAACTCCTACTGAGCCTTCAGAACCCAGCAGATGAGTCCCTGTCCAAGAAGCCTGTCCAGCCTCCCTTGGGCACTGGCTCTGCCTCTCTGTGGTCCTATGATTCCCTCTACGGCAGGCTGATCTTCCCAAACAGCTACTGTCTATTTACCTCCCCGATGAGGGTCTCAGGAAGCTGCCTTCCTGGGGCTGATGGCCATGCTCAGGAGCCCAGGCAGGGCGTCCACAACTTGCGGGTGTCGAGTATAATCAGGACATGGCTCTCGGCCTGGCCCTCACCCTGATGCTACCAGGTGGAGCTTCCTACCCATCTCTACTGATCTGGTCTTAACAGGAGGAGAAAGCAGCTTAGTCCTTCCCAGCTGCCAAAGCATTTCTTACACCCAGGAGACAGCCACTGTGTCCCTTCCCCCCACCCAGGGCAGCCAAGCCAAAGCCACACTGTACAGATGGGGAAAACTAAAGTCCAGGGAAAAGAAATTAGCAGTAAAGACTGCATTTAGAACTCAGGGCTCCCACCCCAGGCTAAGGCCCCCAGTCCCTTTTGCCTGCTACCCCTAACTCCCTCTTGGAGTTCGGAGCTGGGAAGTGATAATGGGCTCAGGCCTGCAGGGCCCCACTGGGTTGAGTGGCCCTGTGGCCCACAGAGGGTGTGTTGGCTCAGGTCTTCCAGGAGGCAGGTGCTGAGGTGATGTAGAGGTACAGATTTACTGGGGAGGGATCGGGAGAGGGAGCAGGAGTAAGTGGGAAGAGCCTCTGAGCTCCATGGAGGCCCGACACCTGTGAAGGAGACCGGGCAGGAGGGGAGATTACGCCAGAAGAGCTCAGACTGCCCTGCAGCTCTGACAAGGTCTTGGTCAAGCCCAGAGTAGAGATTACCCATCAGGGGAGTCCCTGTGAGAGCAGAGACAGCTCTGGTCTCTCCATGGTGCCCAGTCACCAACCGGGAGCAGCCCATGGAAACCCTGCCATCCGTCTGCTTCCCAAAAGTCACAATGGAGCCAAGTGACAGCAGCTGGGGGCTGTTGGCTGATGACATGCCATGCAGCAGCTTCTCCTGAGGACATGACGAAGTGATGGGCCCCCCCACCCCCCCCAGTAGCCGCAGAGGCTCTGTGCTTTGCAAAGTCACCCAGCCAGCGGGCAGGTGACAAGTCCACACTCCTGGGGTGTGGCCGTCCTATCCTAACCTTTAAACCACTTAGGGGCACCCATGTGGCTCAGGAGTTGAGTGTCTGCCTTCGCCCAGGCCGTGATCCCGGGGTCCTGGGTTCGAGTCCTGCATCGGGCTCCCCACAGGAAGCCTGCTTCTCCCTCTGCCTGTCTCTCTCTCTCTCTCTATCTCTCTCTCTGTGTGTGCCTCTCATGAATAAATAAATAAAATCTTTTTTAAAAAATAAATAAACCACTTGGATCGTCACAGGGCTTCGGTGCGGGGAGGTAGGGGGCTGCCAGAGGAATGAAAGAATGAAGATTCAGAGGCAGTGAGGTGCACACGTGATGTTCCAAACTGAGTGTGAAGCAGCAGCCTGGCATTACAGGTCCTTTCCGCATCCGCCACCGCGTGTCCTCAGATGAGCGGCTGCTCCCATCACGTGGCTTTCACCCTTGCAAGGTGGGGACGAGCCGGCCTCACTCCCGCCTCCCTGCCCAGATCCAAAAACCACGGGGGCAAGTGGGGACCAGTGGTTTTGTCTCTGCAAACCCGGCTCCGCTTCCTACAGAGGAGCCCATCAAAGGCCACCCTGGAACTTTCCCCCTGGTGTAACCCCAGGGGCAGAATGTCATTCTTACTGCCTTTGAGGTTTCAGGGGCTTGGGGGGACATCTAAACTAACAAAGAAAGCTCAAATTTTATGCGTGTTTTATCCAAAAACTATACATGAGAGAGAGTCAGTTCTAGTGTAGCACTGAAGATATATAGACAACTTGAGTCTAAATCAAACTCTGCTATGGGCCGTGGGTGAGTTACTTTTCCTCCTCAGTTTCCTCCTCCGTAAAGTGGGATAATAATAGTGCTCATTTCGTAGGATTACTGTGAGGATCAAATAAATCGATTTATAGAAAGTGTGTAGAACAATCTATTCTGTTTACTGTTACGACATAAATTGGTCATTTGGTCCATGAATAACCTGTTTATTAATTTTTTTTTTTTTTTTTTTTTTTTACTGGCTTACTGGCAAATAAAGCTGACTACCAGTAAGGAAGAGGAAAGAAAGGCAAAGAAAGAGAATGCTCAGTCCGCGGGCCTCAGCTCTCCATTCTTTCAGCTTTGCAGGTTGACAAGTGAGGGCAGAACAGAGGAAAGAGGATTAGGTCTGTGTTTCCTCCATCCCCTTGTTTCGAGGCACAGTCGTGTCTCTTCCATGTTGTGGGTTGTTTTTTTTTTTTTCTTTTCTCCCAAATCCAGTCTGAGATCCTGCCAGAAAGTGGAGGATTTGGTTATGGCATCAGAAGGTTGAGTCCGATCGCTCGAGGCCCGGGCAGGAAGGTGTGGGGTCACCCCCTGTCCCACCACCCGTCGCACCCCTGTCCTTTCCCTTGCCTTGAGACCTGGCCCATGGGCTACACCCGGCGTGAGCAACTCTGGTACCGCTGTCCTTACAGACATCCCAAGACCTTCACAGCGAGATCGAGACATCTCAGAACACCAAGTTTCCATGGTGAAAGTTTTTTGATAGGCCTAATTCTTAAATTTTTAAAAAGATTTTATTTATTTATTTATTTATTTATTTACTGACTTATTTTATTTGAAAGAGTGAGAAAGAGAGAGAGAGAGAGTGAGAGTGAGGGGAGGGGCAGAGGGGGAAGGAGAGAGAGAAAAACTCTCACCCAGGCACCCCCAATTACAGGCACATTTATCAATATCCACTGGGGGCAGGGGATTCCCAAGTAGGTGACTGCAGGGCCCCTGAAAGAATCTGCTGCACTGGAGGCATGAGGATGGATGTGGATGAGAAGCCACATTTCTCCTTCTCCCTGGTGACTGGCTGGGAAGGTGGGGAGCTTCAGGTAGGAGAACCAAGGAGGCACATTTGGGTCTAGTCCTGCCTGGAGGCCGGGGAACGGCCAAGCTACCCTTGGAGGCCTCTCATGAGGCCAGGAGGACGGGACTATGATACGTGGGAGTCAACCTCCAAGACAGCCCGGTCTGTCTCCACCTGCTGGTGTCCACACCCTGCGTAGTTCCCGCCCACACTGGATCAGGCTGGTGTGCGTGATCCACAGCACATGGTAGAGATGATGACGTGTCACTTCTGAGGCCGGGTCTTCAAAGATAGTTTTTGTTGTTGTTGTTTGTTTTTAAAGAGTTTATTTATTTGAGAGAGAACACGAGCAGTGGGGAGCAGCAGAGGGAGAGGAGAAGCAGGCTCCTTGCGGGGAACCCGATGTGGGATTCGATCCCGGGACCCCAGCATCACGACCTGAGCTGAAGGCAGACGTTCAACCACTGAGCCACCCAAGGTGCCCCTAAAGAGAGGTTTTTTTTTCCTTAAGATTTTATTTATTTATTTATTTATTTATTTATTTATTTATTTATTTATGAGAGAGAGAGAGAGAGAGGCAGAGACATAGGCAGAGGCAGAAGCAGGCTCCATGCAGGAAGCCCGATGTGGGGACTCCATCTGGGGTCTCCAGGATCCCGCCCTGGGATGAAGGCGGTGTTAAACTGCTGAGCCACTGGGGCTGCCCCCCCCCCAAAGAGAGTTTTAAAGTAAGCTTGCCTTGCTTTCTCTTCGATTCCTCTGGGAGAAGCCATAGCTATGTCGTGAGGACACTTGAGCAACCCCGTGGCTAACTGCCAACAGCCATGTGCGTGAGCCACCTTGGAAGCACATCCTCCAGCTCCGGCCAAGCCTTCAGGTGACTTCCGCCCAAGCCGACAGCTTGGGCTTGAGGGGGGACAACCTCACGAGACGCTCTGAGCAAAATCCACCCAGCCAAGCTGCTGCTGGATTCCAGCCCCCGCAGAACCTATGAGATCATAAATGTTTGTTGCTGTAAGCTGCTAAGTTAGTTGGGGCAATTTGTTACACGGCAACAGATAGCTAATGTGCCATAGGACTCCCATGCCTTTGGTTTCCTATCCAGAGGGATGATCCTTTGGTGATCCTTTTAGGTGACATATCCAAAATATTTTGTGACTAGTTCAGCAATGACATGAGCTGCAAACAATTGGCCCAGTCCTAGCAGCTCTGAATTTGATTGTTCAATGATAGGCCTAATTCTTAAATTTTTAAAAAGATTTTATTTATTTATTTATTTATTTATTTACTGACTTATTTTATTTGAAAGAGTGAGAAAGAGAGAGAGAGAGAGTGAGAGTGAGGGGAGGGGCAGAGGGGGAAGGAGAGAGAGAAAATCCCATGCGGACTCAGTGCTGAGCACAGAGCCCAGCATGGGGCTCGATCTCACAACACTGAGGTTATGATCTGAACCGAAACCACGGTCTAGTCCTGGTTTGGAGGCTTAACTGACTGAGCCACCCAGGCACCCCCAATTACAGGCACATTTATCAATATCCACTGGGGGCAGGGGATGGGGAGACACCAAAATAAAGCAGGAGATTCTCCTTTGGGCTATGGGAGAAAGAGCCATGGACCTAAAGATCATGCATGGGAGAAAGTGACCCGTCCCTCACGCTGTACCAGGTTCTGAGGGAGCCTAGTTGAGGAAATTGTTTTAAGATGAGTCTGGACAGGGCCTCAGCAGACAGAGGGGAAGGTGAGTGGCGGGAGACACGAGGGGATGGACACATGGTGCTGAGATATGGGCCCCACGTCGGGCAGGCTGCGGAGGGGGCCGAGGTGCAAGAGGAGGCATAACGGGAGGGCTGAGGCTGGAGTCTGAGTCAACCCCTTCCTCCTCCAGCTCACACCCTCCCTTATCTCCTCTTCTTCCTCCCACTCCATCCCATCCTCCTTTGCTAGTTCCAGATGGGAACATTGAGTCCCTGAGAGCCCTGCTGGGAGAAGCTTGCTTCCTGATGGATGCAGGCTGAGGAATCTGCCCCCAGGGTGGTCTACAGAGACACCCTGGCACCCAAGGGTGGGAGTGATCTCAGGCCTGTTCACTGCATGCATCGCCATTTCCCGAGGCGTCTGTAAGTCAGTTAGGGAATACGATTGTGAGGAGGGAAAACCAGGCAATACGAGTTTATTTTTAAACATCTTCTATTTCTCTGAATGGCTTTCAAGAGGCAGAAGCCCAGAAATGGTGAAATTCAGTTACAGAACAAGCATGAGGGATGAGAGGCACCCAGGCGGACGAGCACACAGCACCCTTCGTCACATGACAGGGTAAATGCCATGAGCCAGACGCAGCTGGGTGGTGGGGAGGGCAGATCGCAGACCAAGGGGGGGCAGAGCTGAGAAGGTAGGGGGTCTCTTACCCCCTCCTCAGACGAGGGAACCACGTAGATGAAGAAGCACATGCTCCAACCATTTAAGGAGGCACTTAGGAGATTTACCATAAAAAGCAACTCGAGGAGGTTAGGTTGTAAGGAAGACCAGGGCAGCCTGTGTTTGCAAAAGATATAAATAGACCTATAAAGATATAAATAGGGCTTCTGACAGGTAAATACAAGCACACGACGGGTAAGGCTTCACTTTAAATCTTGTTCTGTACGAGACGGGACTGAGATGCTTTTTAAGTAGAAACCAGAAGCTAAAGATACGTGTGCTAATCAAGAACTTTGTATGGACACAGTTTAAAACACCCAGGGACAAACCAGGCTATCTCTGAAGCCTCTCACAGACCCCAGGCCCCGTGAGCCTAAGGATCACATCCTTGCATGCTCAGCTGGTGGGTTCTGAACGACTCAATTTACTGGGCCCAGGCCAGAGGGTGCAGACGGGAGACTCCAGCACTGGCTTTGGCCTGCAAGATGTGTTTTGTTTGGCCTGCACGATGCTCTCCGAATTCAAAATAGTTGCCAACATTTGAAAGTCCAGATTTTTAGCTTCCCTTGAAAAATGGGGTGGAATATCTGGCAAGGCCACCACACATTCCCACATGGCAGCCACCGAGTCAGACAACAGCATGTGTTGTGCTCCATTACCCTGAAGACCCGGCCTCATCTCTCTGCTCACTTACGGCTCCCGCCTGGTTCAGGGAGGCATCAGGGTCTGTGACCAGGGCCAGGCATACAGTCTGCAGTGACCTCGTGACTTTCTGCTTGGTGGCAGCTCCAAGCCTTCAGGCCTTAGTCTTGAGCCCTTTACCCTCATATCCATGGCAGACCCATCTTAGCAGTGGACCCAGGAAGGCATATTCACCCACAGGCCAGGGGTGTGGGAGGCATAACCCTCGCCTGTAGAACTCCCACGTGTCTTACAGAGATCTCTAACTCTGCAAAGGCCAGTCACTGAAAAGTTGCCAGCCATCCTCCACTTGCACAGACTCAATTCCACAGGCATCGAGGAGATCGAGGTCAAGGGTGAGTCACTTCTGGGCCAGACTAGAACACCCAAGCAGAGGAAGGAATCCCAGCTGAGGCTGGGCTGGGCCAAGGAGGGCCGGGAAGAAGGCAGCTTTTCTCGCCATGACCGCGACATGGCCAGGGCAGCCGGGTGAGGTTGGCAGGTTTTGCGGGTGTTTAGAAAGCTCCACTCAAGTCACAGTGTGAACGACTCCATCTGGATCTGTGCAGCATAAAATCTGCCCAACTGCACATGTTGGCCCTGGGACTAACAGCGAGAGCAAAGAAACAAGTGGAGATGATGAGGCAGGTGCAACCAAACGGGGTGTCCTAGCACAGATGTGCCACTTCCTTTCCAAGCTGCGGGAGGTAGGGCTGGGAGGCAGAGGGTTAGGAGCCAAGATCTTGTTGGCCAAAGTCAGACACCCTCAGCGGGCCCCATGCTGCACATGTGCAAATGCCCATGAGATGACGGGAATGGCCAGAAGCAGTCCCAGGAAACAGGGCTGGCCAGAATAAGTAGGGGGGCCCAGGATCCCCAGGTTAATAGATATAACCACCTGTACACACACACAGAGACACACACAGACACACACACACGTTGTCAGCAGAGATATCTGACCCATTACCCCCCCACATAAACATGCATACATGCAGCTATATCCCATTGTGCACACTCATATGAAGGTGTCCACACTCACAATCACAGTGGTTGCGGGTGAGAGCAGTCTGCTTGTCTCACCGGAGGTTTTCGGGGCCCCTCTGGCGCTTTTAGGCTGAGCTACCTGCGGGGGCCCAGCACAGCACAGAGCTCCATGGGACAGAAAATAAACCAAGTCCCCGGACTTGGGCCAGCGGCAGCGTCCTGGCCTCCACCGCCACCTACCGATGCGAGTGATTTTCAGGCTTTAAAGGCCCCTCACCCATCCGCTTAGGAGGGCACACTCAACTCAACTTTAGGAGTCAACAGCATTTCAAATTACAACAGGCCGCGGGGCACGTGGAAATAGCTAAAACTTGAAATCTGAACTCCTCGGATGCCAAGGATCTGTCGTGTGTGACATCAAGGCACGTAGCTAGCGCCTGCAATTTTCTGCAGCCCTAAAGATGCCCACAGATGGGCGCAGAAGCCAGAGCAGGCCGCTCCCTTGGCAGTGAAACCAGACTCTGCCTCCAGTGCTTAGGTGGATATGAGCTGGTCTTTCCCCCCACGGTGGGTAGACCTGGGGATATTTGCCTTTGCCCAGGGTCAGATTAATATTTTCACAGCTCCTTGGTCTCCGTTGAAACAACTCAACTCTGCTGCTGGGTGCAAAAGCAGCCACAGACATATGCAAACCAACGGGCATAGCTGTGTTCTGACAAAAGTGTCTCTACAAAAACGGGTGGTGGGCTAGATTTGGCCCATAAACTGCAAAACCCTGCATCAGCCCCATACAAGGGTCTTCAAATGGGGTTCCGGAGAACTTGGGTGGTGCCTCAGGAGCTCTGCAAATGTTTGGCTCTCACTTCTTCTTAGCTATGTAGGACACTACAACAAAAACGCACCCGCTCCCGTGTTTTATAGCATTTTGACGTGAAGGAGGTCAACATGTCCACCGTTGGGCAAGCTCATTCGTCACAAAGGTTCTCTTGCCATCTCCTCTCTGCTGTCCAGGCTGTCCGGAGAATGGCTAAGAGCCTGGGTCCCAATGGGAGCTTCAGTGCCAGCGCTGCCACTCGCTAGCTGCATGACTTTGGGCAAGTTGCTCTCTCTAAACGAGCAACCAGAGTGGGAGATGGCCAACGTGCTGTTGCAGCCTCCAGGACGCCCCTTTGGCTGAATTGTGGGAAGACAGAATTATCACAGTGGAGGGGCCAGGGAGGCTGAGGCCACGAAGGGGCACTCAGGGGCTCAGGGCAGTGCTGTTTACCAGCTGTTACAGAGGTATTTCAATGTTTTAATCACCAGTTGGGTGCACTGGCGCACACCAGTTACACCAGTTGAATATCATTATGTTGCTGGATCCATCTGGGATTTGAGCTTCTCACTGGTTTTGATTTCTCCTGGCATCTCCTGCTCCATCCCCACCATTCTGATGGGGACGAGGAGTGAGTGGTTCTGCAATGGTCTTAGCAGGCTCAGGGCAGAGTGGCAGGGCTTGTTTTTCCGCCAACTGGCAGTTTCCATTGGGTTGGGGACTTGGTCGGCAAGCATTTCCTGGGAAGTGCCCTGCAGGACTTGTCAGGGAGTTGTGCTTTGGGCTCCAGGGGCCCAGCATTTCGGGAGCTGCAGCTCCTCTGGCCCAGCCCTGCAGTCCAGTGCGGGCCGTGATGCTCACCTGGCCTTCCAATCTGCCCAGTGATCCAGAAGCAGTGCTCCTCGCCCGGGGCTCCTCCTCGCCCCTGGAAAGAATCAGAATGTGCATCTGGCGCTGCCTCGCCTGCCCCCGGGATACTGGCCTTTTACTCCAGCCACTGAAAGCTTTTTTCCAGGCCTGAGATGCTCATTTACAGTCTCGATAATAGAGCCAGACCCTAGTGCCCCTCATGCCCAGGGCTGTCTATGTCTATTACTCGCGGCTACAGTGAAAGGCACGGCTTTTACTACACCTTATCTCTCTGTTTCCAGCATCATATTTTTCTGCCTCCTGAGAGACCCAGTAGAATCAGGGCTGTTTTATCACTAGGTCCTGGAGGCAGGACCTCCTGGTTTCAGAATCCCTGGGGTTTATCTTAATTAGGCGCCATCTGGTGCCCAACGCACATGTCCATTCTGGACATGCAGCCTCATACCATGAACCTCGGCTGTGCCAGCGTGCAGGCTGCTGGTGGCTGTGGCTGGCTCCGTGAGCCCTAGAGGCTCATCCAACGGGGTGATTCTGAGACTGGGGAAGGACAGAGGGCCTTTTGGGGTTTAGCCAAGATCAAAGATGACTCTCTCACTTTCTTTGGTAGAGGCTGTTCTTGGGTCTCCCAGTATCTCTGGCTGGGTACCGAACAGAGGAAGGAACTCAAAACCAGGCCCCCTGCCCTGAGGCCTCCTCTGTTGGCCAGAAGAATCCCGGCTGTGGGTGGAAAGACCCGAACGAAGACATCTTCATCACGTGTCCCCCCTCCCCCCCATGATAAGGCAGTCAGTGGTGGGGTCTGCCCCAGACACTCAGTACGGCCTTGACCTTCCCCCCAGGCCCAGTGTCCCACACAGAGAGTGAAAACCCAGCCCAGCTCCCCTCTTCCGGCCCAAACTATTGCTCATTTTGAGAGCCACCTCTGTCTCCTCACTTTTTCCTCCACCCTGGATTATCTTTCTGCAACTACTATCTTGCCCTACACTGTCCAGACCATGTACTCAGTCAGACCCTGTGCTGAGTCCTCAAAATGACAAAAGTCAGACCCCAGGTGGCCCTTCACCCCCTTCTTCCACCCTCACCAGCAGTCCAGCTCTCCTGCACACACCTCCAGGCTCCTGCTCCCTATGACAGTACCTTGGGCTTTCCTTACAAGGTGCTTGCTCACAGCGGGACTCCCCGGGGGCTGGGCAGTCTGTGGCCCACACAGACGGGCGGCTCCCCTTTCTGGGTCTTCCTGAGGGACCAGCCATCAGTGTTCCCACCCTCCTTTATAAAGAGAGCCTGGCTTGTTAGCAAAAGAGGAAGCTGATTCATCAAAGAGAGTTCTCCCCTAGAAGCCGTGACAACGGGGATGCAGAGGCTCCTGCAAGGGGGAGGCTTCGCTGGTGCGCTGCAGGGGGAGGTGACCTCATCCTGGAGCCCCCTGCACAGCAACCCGGTGACAGGGAGCTCAGTACTTCCACTCACAGTCCCAGAGCTGGAGAATCTTGCCAGTGCACCTTTGCACTCCTTCCCGTCCAACTGTTCACTGCCTCCGACCAGACCTTCCCCCGTCACCCTGGGCAGGCCTTCCCTCGGGTGCAGGCAGGACAGGCCGGACAACCTCCCACTGCACCCACTGAGCTTCTTCCCCTGCATTTGGGCCCACCATAGTGAAGCCCAACACTCCCCTCTTCCCCACTGGGAAAGCTGCTCGGCTGAAGCCTGGGTGAGGGGGTTGGCAGGCAGGAACTACTGAACTTGGGCTAAAAGCAAAAGCAAAGAAGCATGGAGGCCCTGGTGGCGAAAGCGCCTCCTGGGGAAGAGCCTGCAGTGTCCCCTGCTGGCGGAAGGAGAGTTTGCAGCAGGTTAAATTCACTCCTCTCTCCTTCCAGGAGCCCGGCCCCTGGCTGCTGCTGACCCGATGGGTGACTCCGGGTAGGGGACCACAGGAAGCAGATAGGTCATCTTGTCCAGTGCTTTCCAAACATGCAGAATTAGAGGTAGGGTTGCTGCGGACGATTTGCCCATTTGACACAGACCTCCGAGCTGAGGAGCTGGGGGAGCCCGAGCAATGGGCTGACATCCAGGCTCTGTGCTGCTGAGCAGGCCCAGGACCGGGCTGACTTTTTGAAATTCATTCTCGGGACAGCATACCTCTCTAACTGCACTGAGGTACCATATGGTCCAGCAGCAGCCCGGCACAGGGCAATCCTATTAAAACCAAGCTGCTTCGGCGGCGAGTTTGAAAACCACCCCCAAAATCCGGGAATTGAGGCCCCTGAAAGGGAGGGACTTACCCAAAGTCATCAGCTAATGCCAGGACATGGCTTGGAGCCAGGCTTCTCTCTCGAAGCCATGTTCTTTGCACCACACGGAGCTAGTTTTCATCCCCAGCCCCTTGTGAGACACCCCGGCTCCTCCGACACTGCCACCCTCCTTCGTCAACTGCCCCCTGCAGCCCAGCTACTCTGCAGTCTTACTCTCCTAGGTGGGATCATGGCACAGTGTTGCCCACAAGGAGGGCTGGTGAGGATGCAGGCTCAGTCTGCCTAAGTCCCTGCAAGTACCTCACTCATGGAGATGAGGGCAGACGTGGAGAGGGACAGAGTGGTGAGGAGCTAGAAGGGTCCAGGGAATGACATGGTGAAGTACGACAGGGAGCTGGAGCAACGTGGGCCTGTGAAGCTGGTGGCTCAGCTACGGTGCAGATGCGGCCTGCTTCATAGCCGCCGTCTGCTTGGGTGTCTGTGCCACACCGTAAGGCACATGGGCAGCCACGGTGCCCATCTCCTGAGCCCCGGCCACATGGAACATCTGGTCATCAAAGAAGATGTGTGGGCGGATCTTCTCCAGGAGGGGGCCCTTGGGTGCTCCTGCCAGGAACAAAGCCTCATCCGTCTCCAGCCCCCAGCTGCGCAGCGTCTTGAGAGCTCGGGCCCCAGAACTGGCTGCGCTGCGCGCTGTCACCAAGTAGGTGCGGATTGGACACTCCAGCCGCAGGCCCTTGGAGTAAAACTTCTTCTGCAGCCTACCCAGCGCCTCCAGAAAGCCCTTCAAGGGGCCCTGTGAGAAGGCAAGAGAACACCATGAGTTCCTCTGTCTCCCAAACATTTACCCCCCTCTCCAGCTGGGCTCCTTCCGAAAGCCCTAGTGTCTTGCCGTTTGGAGTGGGAAAGCTCTCGAGAGCCCTAAATCTCCCAGGTCTGCTACACCTGCTAGGGCCACAGTGTGTATCAATGGGACTGTAGGTACCTATGTCGGTCTGGGTGTCCCTACTGCGGTGAGTGGGGATGCCTGGGTCAGAGTAACCGTAGCAGGGCAGCGGTTACTACGTATGTCCATCCACGTGCCCACCAGGTACACGGGTGTCTGTTGTGAGGCTGTGTGAGTGTGGCCTTCTGTGTTGTTCAGCAGGGAGGATATTAAAAAATATTTGGTACCTGTGGCATGGGCAACCCTCCAATCACAATGGACACCAGCTGCAAACAACTGGGACAGACAGACCAACATGCCAGATATCGACCCTGCCCACTGGACATGGGTGTGGCTCAGGGTGTCATGTTCCAGTTCTCTAGGGTCAGGGGAAAGATCTACTCTCTACCATGCCTGGAACGACAAAGCTTAATGGGGATGCATGAATAAAGAAGCAAACTGCATCAGTGGCTGGAAATCAAGGCTTCTAATCTTAGAGACCCCTCACTAGTGGGGGGTGACCCGGAGCACGGAGTGGTCTCCTGGGCCTCTACCGACCACTTAGTGGTCAAAGTGTCCTGCCCTGCACTCCTAGGGATTTCAGAGGGACTCCACAGGAACGGAAGTCAGATGAATATATCCAGGAGCCACAACTGGAGCCTGCTGAGCTCTTGGAGAAAGAGAATTGAGCACCCAGATTTTTGTGAGAAGCACAAATAGGAGCTCCCAGGAGGCCTGCAAATCCCAACACCTCCAACCCCAGGGTTTTTTTTCTCCAGGCCCTAGGGCATATTCTACTCTCAGGGAGACCCCAAGCAGTGTGAGGGTTCCCGAGCCTCCCGGCCAAGGGATGGATGGCAGGGGTGGCCCAAAGCAGGTGGGTTGCTCCAGACCCCACCCCCAGCTGAGGTTCCCTGCCCCCTAAGGAGCTTCCAGGCTTTTCCTTTCCTCCGGGGAGGGAAACGAGGGGGTTCTTGAGGACCTGGGAGATGACTCAAAGGGCTGGGGGAGTCTCAGAGAGGGGATAAGTGGTACAGAGAGAAGATGGCAGCTTTGGAGACAGGGTGAGGCCTTCGGAGAGGGAGGGAAGCTTCAGGGAGGGCCGGGGAGCCTAAAGAGAGGGGGGCACTTCAAAGGTGGGAGATAGTAAAGGAGATGCAGTTCAGTGAAGGAAAAGAAGCTCTTTGAGGGAGGCCGGGGGTCAGGTGAGAGCTGACCCCTGGTGAGGGGCTGGATTCTGGGCTGAGCTTGGGGTTTGGTTCTCGGCTTGAAGTTCCAGCCCAGGGCAAGTTCTGGGGACCCGCCTCGCCTCTCTCAGGGGTCCTGGGGAGTGTGTGGAGCACCTGAGCCAAAGGTTTGTTCTCGTGGGCCTTCTCATGCTCAAAGAACCTGTCCAGCCCGTGGGCTTTGACGATGCGCTCCGACTCATCGGAGAAGAGCACAGCATCCCCGTCGAAGGCCACACGCAGCTGGCTCTGGGACACAGCCACGTCCCTGCTGGGGCTGAAGATGGTGGCAGCGGCGATCCCTGGGCAGAGAGAGGCAAGTGTTGTCTGCCTTCATCCTGGCAATAGGGGTTCCCCCCCCCCGACACCTGTCTCAGCTGCCTGGGGCCAATAGGAGGCTACCTCAAGCTGTCCTAGCCCTACGGGCCTCACCCAGGACTCAGCGAGAGGCTCATGAGGGCTCATATTCAGAATATTGAAAAACTGGTCAGTCAGATGGACGGTGGCTTTGCTCTGAGTAGGGCTCTGAGGGTCCTGGCCCATGTCAGGGTCCCCCTTTCGTTGTGGCTTTGCAGGAAGCTCTAGGGGAGCCCCCAGGAAACAGGGGTCCCTCAGAGGACTCAGGAAAGCAGCTGTTTATCAAACAGTATGGAGGAATTTCAATTTTTTGATATCTAGCAAGGTCACCCTGGTGTGTACCAGCTGAATGTCAGTCCTGACTGGGAGGAAGGGTCCCCCAGGCCACTGCTATCCTTCTAGGAGATCCTCATAGGCACTTGATATGGACCTATGGGGGGGCAGCTGGGAAGTAGCCCCAATCCTGGCTTGGCCTCAGTTACTCTCTACTGTTGATTCCAGCAAGTCCATCACCTTCTCTGAACCAAGGTAAGATTAAGTGAGTCTGGAGCTGAGATCCCAGGCTGAAGGCACCCCTGCTTTACTGCCACAATGACACCATGCATGCCCCACTCAGGGTTCCTTGGGGCAACCTTGAGGATGAAGGGCAGTACCATCAAGGTACTGGGGCAGTACCAGTGCCATCTGACTATGTAGCCAGACTCTCTGCAATCCTGGGCTTCTCCAGGAGTCAGGATGCCCCAGACTGGAGCTGCACTGGACAGCAGAGCCAGCCCGAGGAGGCTGGAGGCCTGGGTCATCTTCTCTGGTGGTCATCGCTCCAAACCTGCTTCTGCCCTGCTCTTAGGACTCTAGGCTCACAAGGGCTGGACTAGAGCGGAACTCTGGGAGGAGAGAGAGCAGTGCCAGGCAGCTCTCAGCAGCCTGAAGCTGCTCTAAGTAGGGCCGGGCCCTGGGCAGCAGGCCAGGCACCTTCTCAGCACCTGTAACACTGGGGCTGAGGTGAACCAGGACCACCCAGCTCTGGGCAAGGCCTCCCTCCTGACCCTCCCTGCTCGCTGGCCTGAGCTCAGATTTCAGACATACAAAGGCACACATGCAGTGGGACAGCCCTTCCTCCCCTGTGGGCCTCTTTTCTTCCATGAGCAAGACAGATACACACCCCATCAGGAGCACCGACACTGTGGATACCTCCCCAAGCTGCCCCTTGGGAGAGACACTTGGAGGGAAATTCTCTTGGTCAGTACCTGCGGCTGGGTCTCCTAACCCGACCTCAGCACTGGGCCGCCAGCTGCTGGAACGCTAGCCATTTCCCAGACCCCAGTGCTCAGGATGAGCTAGACACCCACCTTCCTCCCCACTGGCCCAGACAGGCAGAGGCTGCTCATGGTCACACAGGCCTCAGAACCCGGAGGATTCTTAGAAGGGAGTAGCTTTCTGGGCTGTGAGGAGGGTTTCTATGGAAAGAGAAGGCTGTGCAATGCCAATGAGTAAAAAGCATCCTTCACACGGTAGGGTCAGAGGTGGGAGAGTGGACTAGAAGGCCAGTGGGTGGAGTAGGTGGGCCTTATTCTCAGAGCTCACAGGACAGGCCGTAGGAATTAAGGAAGGCACTCCCTCTCTGATGACCATAGTTGCCCCGAGCACCTGCTCAGAGATTTAGGACCAGGCCCCCCGCCTCGGGAACCCCTTCTTCAGACTCCCCAGATTCTCCTTCCCCAGGATGACTCACCTTCATCGATGGCTTCCCGCACTTTTTCTGCATCAGCTGACAAGTAGAGGTTGGTGTGATAGGCCTTGAGGTAGCAGATGGGGCTATTCCCACCTGTCATGCAGAACCGCTCGATGAACAGGTCTGGAGAGGAGGTAGAGAGCACCCAGGTGACACCGAGGCGACCCTCAGGGCCTCAGAGTGGTCCCTCCATGTCCAGCAGGAGCCCTCTGGGTTCTGAGTGGTGATGGGGCAGCAGAGGGATTCTCTGAGTGATTTTAGGCCCCCCCCTTCCCTTCTCTGAGCCCCTCCATCCTTCACCCACGAAATATGGATGATTAAGCAGGACTGACTGCCTGGAACAGCTCTTGTCAGGTAATCACGGTACTATAAAAGGGGGGTCTCCAGCCAAGATCTGACCCTCCGACCATACATAGCTGATTAGAGAGAGGCAGACACGTGACCCAAGCTGGGCCAATCAGATAGTCTCCAGGCCTCGGCTGATGGTCACCTGGAAGCCCTGTGTGCACAGGTTGGAAAAGATTTGCTGGTTGGTCAGTGGCTGCTGCTCTGACCCCCCAGAGTTACTCCATCGCTCCCCCTGCCCCACCAGTGGGACAATCCACATGCAAGGGGTAATCCCTGGTGCACCAGGGGCCCTGGAGGGCCCTGCTCCAGTCCTGTGGGTGGTGTATCTTGATTTCTCCCTACCTACATCCTAAAGGAATTAAATATTTCGAATATCATCTCTGCTCCCAGCAATCTGAAATTAGGATGAAAAAAATGCCACTGAACTCCATTGGTTGCTTAAAATAAGGGTTTGTAACTTACAAATTTTGGCCACGTTCAGGAAAAGCAGAGAAACCTAGTCTGGGGAGAGACATGTGGATGGGGTGGATGGAAACTGCTGAGAGGAGCCGAAATAAGGGCTCACGTGGCCCAAGAGAAAAAGCCCAGGAGAGGTCCCCAGTACTTGGATTCAGGCTGTGGTGGGCCCAATTGTATTTCCTGCCCTGTGGTTCTAGGAGACACTTTTTTAACCTAAAATAAGAAATTGGGCAGCCCAGGTGGCTCAGCGGTTTAGCGCCACCTTCAGCCCAGGGTGTGATCCTGGAGACCCGGGATGGAGTCCCATGTCGGGCTCCCCGCATGCAGCCTGCTTCTCCCTGTGCCTCTCTCTCTCTCTCTCTCATCTCTGTGTATTCTCATGAAAAAATAAATAAAATCTTTAAAAAAATAAGAAATTACCATATTCTCGTCAGCATAAGCTAGCTCTGGAGGGTCTATTGCCTTCAGTCAAGAGTTTGGACGAAGATACAAAGTCCCTTCACTCTGACAACTCCACCTGCTTCTCCTAGCAGCCTTGTGAGGCCTGTGAGCCTCACTGCAGATGGGGAAACTGAGGCACAAAGGCAACAAGTGCCCTGCCCAATACATAGGCAGTGGGGCCTGGGCAGCATACCGGAGCCAACTTGTACCGGCTTGTAAGAGTCAGATGCTAAACATTCAGGGATTTTTTTTTCCAAGCAAGTAAGATTGCTCAACTGTTGATAACTTGAAATCAGCCACAGCCGGGTATTTACACCCTAAGATGGCCATACTCCGATCAGGGTTGGTTTTTCTGGTTTGGTTTTGGTTTGGTTTTCTTAAAAACCCAGTTTACCAGTGTACCTCTGGGCTGCAGGCTCTAGTTGGCATTGCCTACCCCCCTGCAGACGTGTGGCCCCATCCCCAGGTGTCTCATAGGGGCGTCCCAGGGCCAGGCCCCTGATGCTCACCGTAGTGGTTGATACTGTTGATGAGACGGACACCCACTTGAGCATGGTTGTTGGTGACGAGGACGATGTCGAAGATGTCCTCACTCTCGGGGTACAGCTCCCGCAGCCTCCTGTTCACAGCCTCCAGAGCCTGGATGGGAGAGAGGACCCCCACCTCTACTCAGGCCCCCAGTACCTGATATCTGGAGTTGGTAGCCAGCGTAGAGGAGGAGTGAGCTGGAGTCTAACGGGGGCAGAGAGGGATGGTCAGGGGTTGGCCAGGGGCAAGATGCGTGGACCTAACATCAGCCGTCGTGCTGGTTGACTGCTGCACAGGGGCGCCTCGCTGAAGGGTGAGTGGGGGCCCCATCCACCAGCTCCACTCACCAAGCTAGTTGCCTGGAGCGGGGCTGCACTGGCGCAGAGGACAGGGAGGCTTCTTCCCACAGTGGCTCTGTCCCCACGCCAAGCCCGTGCATCTGCCCCTTTCCTTACTCAGACCCCCAGGAGTGCTCTTGCTCCCCCAACGAAGGCACCCTAGGGCACCCACCTTCACGAAGGGGAAGGCTGGCCCGGGGCTGAAGGGCTCGTTCTCGTGTTCCAGCTGGTAGCGCACATACTCCTCCACGCCCTGCTCCGTGTAGATGCGCTGCTCCTCATCCATGCGGAACAAGGCTCGGGAGGACACAGCAATGGTGACAGCATTCTGGGGCTTGGGCTGTGGAGGTGCCAGAGGAGGGCTGTTACTCACCCTCCCCGATGCAGGTCTCCAGTGCCAGCCTGTCTGGGTGCTGGGGACAGGGAGAGGACCCAGGCCCAGCCCCTGCCCTCAGATGGCTCAGCCTTGGGCAGGAGTAGCCCAAGCCCTGCCCCTCCATGCAGGACCCCACCAGGAGCTCAGGGAGATGGTGGCTCCTTGCCAAGGAGCACAATCTGGTGGGAAGACGTGACTTCAGGGAGTTTGCAATCTAGTTGGCCATCTGGACAGTGGAAAAATGAACACAGGGTGTGTAGCCAGAGTATGACTGATGCTCCAGATGATCTCCAGATGGTTTCCATTATAAAATGAGAGCTACATGCCCCTTAGAAAGACATGGTGCCCAGAAACATGGCACTTACGTAAGAAAGTTTTATGTCCAGACCAGATCTTTCTTCTAAGATCCAGACTCCTATATCTAACTGCCCCAGTTGACTAACAGACACTCAGACTCAACATGCTCGAGGCTGAGGTCCCACCACCACCTGCACCTCCAAACCTGGTCCTCCACCCCCTTCCTCATCTCCAAGGACTCAACCCTGAGGTTAGAGCCCAGAAGCCCACCTCAACTCCTTCCCCCTCCTCAACTCCCCTCCCTACACCAATCCATCCATCCATCCATCCATCCATCCATCCATCCATCACAAAAACCTGTCAACACTATAGAATCCATCCACCTCTTAGTGGTTTCTCTGTCAAGGTCCAGTCTGTCACCATCTCCCGCCCCAGGTCATCCATATTGTTGTCAGGGGATGTTTCTCAAGTTCAAATCTGATGACCCCCTTTCAGTGGTACTCACTCCTCACAAACTCTGTTCCACGGGCCTGCATATGGGGTAGGAAGCCCTTCGAGACTGATGTTCTACCTCTCTGAGCTGTCACCTTCCTGTTATCCCACTTTGCTCAATCTGACCCTTCTCATGTGGGACCATACCTTCCTGTCTGTCCCTGAGCCTTTGCACTCCATGAGCCCTCTTCCCTTAGCTCTTCATCTAGCTACTCATCCAGCTACCCCCACCTACAGGTCTCAAACTACATACACGTCACCTACAGGAAGTCCTCCCTCGCTCCTAGTCATGGGCTTGCTACCTCTCCCATACATTTCCCGTTTTAGTTAAGTTTAGCACAGGCCTTGGGATCCCTGGGTGGCTCAGAGGTTTGGTGCCTGCCTTTGGCCCAGGGCGTGATCCTTGAGTCCCAGGATCAAATCCCACATCAGGCTCCCTGCATGGAGTCTGCTTCTCCCTCTGCCTGTGTCTCTGTCTCTCTCTCCCTCTCTGTATCTCTCATAAATGAATAAATAAATAAATAAAATCTTTAAAAAAAAGTTTAGCACAGGCCTGATTGCTAATTTAACTATTTCCAGACAGAGTTCTGGGGAGGAAGCAGGAACCATGCTTAAGCTCGGAGGAAGCACGAACCGGGACTGTCTTGTTCATTTATTGTATCGACAGTTCTTAAAGCTGTGCCGAGCACACAGTAGGTGCTCAGTAAATTTGTAATGCCTCTGAACTCTAAGTAATCTAGTTCAAAGAAAAACAGTACTTGCCATGACAAAGCTAACATGAACTGGAAGCCTCAGGGCGGTCCCCTAATCTGTTTAGCTTGCTTGACATATAGTAGGTGCTCCTGGAACACTTCTTTGGTTGATGCAAAGTTTACGAACATTTACTGGTTCTTTGTGCCAGGTCCCTGGACTCTGCCTGGGAGTGGTCCTGGTAAGTGACTTGGCACCTGCCCTCAGAGTCACAAGCTGATGGAGAAGAAGGGGCAGTGAAAACACACACAAAAGGGGCCGGAATCAGTACTTAGGACACAGGTGAAAGAAGAGTCTTGATGACAGGGGTTCATAGTAGGTTGGTGGGGGGTGCATTTTCATGGAGCTGGGAAGGAGGAGTCAGTTGCAGGAAGGCCTAAGGAGGTGAGCATGCCCTGGTGCATTCACAAAGGTGAGCAGAGCCCAGGGCAGAGGGAGTGGGTGTATGCGAGCCCAGATGAGTGGGCAGGTGCTAGGAGGCCTTCCCCAGGGCCCAGGAGGGCCTCAGAACTCCTTCAGCACCTGCAGTGGAATAGGGAGAGGCCATATGCCACCACAGCAGCTGGACCCTTTATAATCCCTGGGGAGGATCAGAATGTGGGGCTTGCCTGTGGATACACAGGCACCCAGGTTCCCAATACACCTCTGTGACCTGCGCATTCCTGGAATGGTGATTCCCACATTGCAGGTTAGGAAACAGAGGCTCAAGTTGCACCTCCGATGCTGGCCTGCTCCTGACAGCGCTGCTGGCCACATACTCCACCCCACTGCTTCTCTCTGGAATCAAGCCGGGACCCAATCAGTTGACAACAGTGAGTGATTACCATGTGACAGGCACTGTGCCAGGGACATGGCAGGAAACAATATAGGCATGATCCTCGTCCCCATGGAGCTTGTGATCTATCTCTAAGACCAAGATTTGTGCCCTCTTTTAGAAGAGCATTATCCAGAACTTTCTGTGATAATAGACACGTTCAGTCACTTGAAATGTGACTAGTGAGTCTGAGGAACTGGAATTTTAATTGTATTTCATTTTAATCCATTTAGATTTAAGTAGCTATGAGTGGCTAGTGGCTAATGAAGCTTTAGACCTCAAAGTAGTAAATGGAAGACCAGAGAGTTCCCCAAGCAGATGTGGTAAGCCTCAGTTTGCATACGACTTTTACTCCAATCAAGAGGGTGTATTTGGCCAGCAGGGTCAGAGAAGGGCAGTGAAAGGACAGGTGCCTCTGCTCTGGGCTCAACCCAAGTACTCTCCCAGTTGCCAACCACCCCAGTTTGTGGGATCACAGGCTGGGTACCTCCCAACCCCCTCAGCAACTGTGAGCTTTCAAGGAAAGAAGGGAAAATAAAAGAAAAGGGGCGACAGAGGGCTGGCCAGGGATGGTAAGGGTGGGGTTGGGGGAGTGGGGAGACCCTTCTCATAAACCCAGGAAGCCTGCTGGCCTTCCACCCGCTGGGCTTACTGCCCAGGGACAGGGCCATCACCCCTCAAGGACAGAAAGCCAGCTGCCCTCCCAGCCCCTTCAGGCAGGTGCCCAAGCCAGCTGCTCCAGCCCAGGCAGCCAGCCAAGGTCTCACTCCTCACTTGCTGAACCACAGTCCCTGCCAGGCTGCTGTGTTCTGGGTCCCCTCTGGTTGACCTACCTAGACCCCATCCCACCCACTGCTGGCCATCCCAAGAAAAATATCCCAGTTGCCTTGGCCCCAGGAGTCTCCATTTCCCTCTTTTACAAATGAGGACGTAAGCTCAGAGAGGGACAGAGTATTGGCTCTACATCACACAGCAAAGTCAAGGCCGATCCAGGTAGATTAAGATCCCAAATCTCTGGCCTCTGTCCACACAGTAGCACCCCACCCCACTTAGGCCCCTCCTTGATAGCTCCCAGATGACTCCAACCCCTTCCATTTCAGACACTTCCTTGGGACCCTGGCCCCATGCACCCCTCCTCCTCCAGAGTTGGGAGAAATGGTGAGGGAACACCATGCCTTCAGTCTGAGGTCTCTAAGGGCAGGGCTCTTTCTCCTCAGAGTGGAGACCCCCAGGGCAGGACCCTTCTTTCAGCTCTGCCTGCTGTGACGCTAGACAAGTAGGGTCCAGAAGGCGTGAACTGCTGTGACAGATACAGAAAGAGCGGCCTCTCCAGGCTCCAGGGAAGAGCTGAAGGGACAGGTAAAGGGCTGGCCGGAGCTGAGGGGAAGCCAAGCCCTTGGAGATGCCCCTGGACCTACACTCAGAGGGAGACCACCCCCTCATTGGGTTGTCAGGCATTCACCGAGGAACACCTCCTCCAGAACACAGAAAGAAGTCTGGATTCCAGAGTGGGAATTGGGTCGGGGGACCCTTCTCCTAGAGCAGGGACTCAGCCTGGGAACAGTGGGCTCCAGGGAGCTAGGGTCCTGGCAATTCTCCACCTTCCCCCGGTGCTGGGGGGCCGGTGAGGGGGGCGGTAATGGAGGAGAGCCAGCTCTCATGTAGGCCAACATGATTCTCCTCCTGTTAGGTCCAAGAGAGGAAGGCAGCCAAAAGCTGTTACTTCTAAAAAGTCTTATGGGAGAAGAGCTGCTGGAGGAGAGAGGGACAAGATAGGTCTGAACAGAGGAGTTGTCTGACCCCTTGAGGTGAGAGGCTCCTACAGGCCTTCAGAGCTGAAATATTCCACTCAGGCTCCTGGGAATGAGAATAAGTTCTAATGGGGCCCAAGAGGTCTAAGGCCCCAAAATAGTCTATGGGAGGAGGGGCTACCGCAGGAAGGGGTGGGGGCTGGGAGGACCATGAGGCCTCAGGGGTCATGGCTGACAACTAGGCCTGAGCTCCCTGGTTCCACCCTACTTGGGGAGGAGATGCATTGGTGAACTCCACTCACCACCCCACCCCAGTGTCCATCTCCTGGGCCACGGCCAGGACACTAGTCAAGCTTCCTCCTCAGGCAGGGGCCAGCCTCCTCATTGGTCTGCCTGCTGCCAGACTCACTCTCTCCCATCCCTCCTTTACGCGGCCCCAGAGCGATCTTGCTCGAATGAAATGGGACCAATGGTTTTCTTCCTTTTTAAAAAGCAGGTTGACTTTTTCTTTCAATGGACTCCTGGGAGAACCCCAATATGTAAATTAGATATTGCTATAGTTTCTTAGCATGAATGTATGTTACGAGTTCATTCATACATTCATACAAAAATTTTATTTATTTATTTGTTATTTATTTATATTTATTTAGTCAACCAATGGAAACGGCACGGTTGTATAGGTGATAAATTTGAAACTTGGGGGTTAGGCTGCCCGTGCAGACTTAAACTTCATTGTCTAGTCAATCTGTTCCGGTGTTGGTCGGTGTGTGCACACAGTATTGAGAAAGTCCTGAGTCACGCCAATAAGTGGTTGCAAGTGGTAAAAAAATGTTTGCTTTGTTTTAAACTACGGCCCTCAAGGTACTCAGCAACAATAATTGCCAGCAATCTCAAGATAAACTTCTAGTAAACAGTTTACAGGAAAAGCTTTAATCTGAAGTTTACTAAAAACAACAAAAACACCTAACCAACCTGCAGTATAAATTAGTATACTGGTGTAATCAATCGAAGGTGCTAAGATGTCCATCTAACGCGTTAGAGTGAATTGAGTTTTATTACACGTTTTTAATTGTTTAGGGGGTAGTTTAAAGACAAAGGAAAATAAATTGGATCCATATGTGTGCAGACCTCCAGAAACATGGGGCCCTAGTGGAACCTTGTTTTAAAACCCCTAACCTCGTTGAACACCTAGGCTCCTTAGTATGGCATTCAAGGCCCTATGTGGGATCTCTGGCATCCCTCCCATGTGTCTCCCAAAGATCCTGCATTCTCCTACTCAGGTTCAAAGTCAGCCCCAAGGCTTTAGGGGCTTGTTTCCCTGTCTGCCTGGGAAATGCTGCCTACCCAGGCTTCACGGTGAGCTCAAAGGCTAGGAGCTCAAAGGCTAGGTCTGCAGAGCCTTCCTCAGTGGCACTCACTCTTGTTCGCTCCCTCCGCTGCATGTAGGGTGTTTGCTCTGAGCGCTCACCACGTCCGGGTCTCCCCCAGCCCCCGTGAGCTCCTGAGGCAGGAACTCAACCAAATTCATCTCCCAGTCCCCACTGCTGAGCAGAGCCTAGAGATGCTGCAGGGAATGACTGTGGAGTGACTGTGGCCCCCTTCCTGGGGAAGGGCCCTTGGAGGGAAGCAGCAGGATGCTTTCAGGTCAGGCGGGAACCGTCTAGAGGATGCCTCTGGGCCAATCTCCTGCTCAGTCCCCTTCCCAAGCTCGGAGAGCTCGGAATGGGCAAGGCCCAGGGGACAGCCGGGACATCAGGGATCTGTCCGATGGCAAGAGGAGCTCTCGCCTCTGTGTGGGTCTCCCAGGGCTGAGTCGGCCGGGGGGACCCGGGGGCGCTGATGCGCCCTGCGATGCGCGCGGAGGCCGCGGCTGTGGCGCAGAGGCCAGCGCGGCTCCTTCCCTAAGGAGGCGGGCGGCGCAGCAGCCGGAGCCGGAGCGCAGGGCCTTGAGCCAGAAGCCCGAACGCAGGCGCCGGGTCCGGAGCCCGAAGCCCAGTGGCGGGCACCTGAGCGCCCCGCGAGGGGCCGGGTTTCCAGAGTCGGGTTACCCGAGCCCGGGCCGGCACCCGCTCCGCCGCCAAGTGCAGTGGGCGCGCCCTGGCCGCCCGCTGGAGCAGGAGCCGGGCCGAGGACGGCGTGGGGGAGGGGGGCCCTGGCGGGGAACCCGAGCCCCGGGGACAAGAAGACACCGGCGCGCAGCTCCCAAAATAAACGCGAGCCGGCGCCAAAGGCCCGGCACATTCTGGGGCGGAGGAGCCGCGTCCCGCCCACCCCCCGAGCGCTGCCTCGGGGCCCCTCCGGGGGCCGCCGCCCCTCCCGCGGAGCCCCCTCCCCTGCCCTCCTCCGTCCCCAGGCCCTGCTGTTACCGATTTGGGTTTCTTCTTGGGCGCGAGGTTGTCGTAGAAAGTCTTGCTCTCCTCCCAGCCCGGGGCCGCCGCGGTCTCTGCCCCCGGGCCGGGCTCGCGGGGCGCCCGGGGCTCCCCGGGTTCCATGCTCCGGAGGCCACCGGGCGGGCGGGAGCGGCGGCGGGGACGCGGCGCTGGCGGGGCTGCGCTGCAGCAGGAGGCGCGTCCCGGGCGTGGGAAGGGGGGCGGGCCGCGGCGGGGAGGGTGCGCGCGCCGGCCGCGGGGGGGCAGGGGCGGGGGGCCGGGGCTCGCCAACTCGCCCTCCCCGCTGCGGGCGTGCTGCTGGCGCTGGATGTGCCCTGCGGGGCAGCTGAGTCCCCAAGTGAATGCGGGGCGGGGGGCGGGCACTAGGGAGGCTTTGGCGTGTTGGGCTCCCAGGAGGAGGGGCCCCGAAGCAGGGCTTGCGGGCTGCGGCGGATTCGGGATTTCGGGGATCAAGGGCACCGACAGAGGAGAGGCCTGACAACTTTTCTTCCCAGGATGGTGATCCTGAAAGGGGAAAATGAAAACCTTAGCCTCCCCCCACCCGCCCAAAGCTAAGCCGCCTCTTTCCCGGGTCCCTGGGAATCCGATGGCCGACCCTAGGCCATCCTGCGGAGGGAGAGGCGGTGGCGGGTGGACAGCTCCGTCCTCGAGCAGGACCCGGCGCCCAGCCCGCCGCACCACAGCGGGCCCAGCTGGCAGCTACTCCCCACCAAGGCGGAAGGACGTTTGAAGTCAGTGGCGACACCGGGGCCCCTCGGCCTGGCGGGGGACCCATACCGGGGAGACACCCGGGGACTCTGAACCCACGTTCTTGCTGGCCCCTTGACGGCCAGTAGGGGGCTCGCGCTCACAGGTTCCACCTGCAGAGCTCAGGGAGGTTATGAAGCGGCTTAGAGAGGGAGGGTAGGAAAGGGGCTTGGGAAGCAAAGCCTGTTGGACCACCATCCCTGTGCCCTCCTGGTGCGGAGCCCGGGGTGCAGCCACTAATGCCATCGAGGCATAGATCAGGAAGCAGAAGGGGCATCTCTGCGGGAGCCTCGAGGTCGGCACAGGTGTACGGGAGCAGCAGAACATACTGGAAGGCATGTGGCTGGAAGGGGGTACAGAATGGAGGCATAGGCCCAGCCTCCACCATGTCCTGGGGTGGGGGGAACCAACCAAACCTCGTGCGGGAGGAAGGGGGAAACAATAAAAACTTTTAGGATTGGGGTGTGTTTAGACTTGTCCTTCTCCAGATTCGATAGATTGTTTCCGTGGATGGCCCCCAACTCTCTCTAGTGTGCCTGCCCCTTGGCAATGTGAGTTGGTCACACAGACCTGGATGAGCCTTCGCAGGCTGCAGCGATGGGCACCATATGGCTAAGATTGGGGAGACACTCTGTGAGCAGAATGAGCTGATCAGCAGAAAAAGATGGAAAAAGATGTGCAAAGGGCAGGAGAGACGCCCTGCAAGAGAGACCGTGCTGCCTTGACAGGGGGCCGCCTCCGGTTCAGACAGCTTCCCAAGCCCCAGGTGAGGCTGTCCATGTCTAAAGCCCCATGAGATTCTCCGTGTCACTTTAACAATTGCTCCCCCAAAAGCTGGTGGCTGTTGGTTTTGTCTGACTGGCAACCTGTCCCACCCTCTTCTTCTACAGTTGACTCTTGTGAAGCATGGGTTTGAGGCGCTTAAGCGTGAGCCCACTTAAATGCAGATTTTTTCAATAGATATATGTACAGTACTGTAAATGTATTTTTTCTTCTTTATGATTTTTTTCTTTATGATTTTCTTAAAACATTTTCTTTTCTCTAGCTTACTTCAGTGTAAGAATAGTGTACAATACATACACAAAATATGTGTTAACCAGACTATCTTACCAGTAAGGCTTCCAGTCAACAGTAGGCAATTAGTAATTAAGTTTTGGGGGAGTCAAAAGTTATATGTGTATTTTTGAATGCTTGGTAGTAGATGGGTGGTCAGTGCCTCTAAACCCCGCATTGTTCAAGGGTCAATTGTAGTAACAGGCCCTACATCCCTGCCTCTCTGGTCGCAGGAGTGGGCCCGTGAACTAGACCTGAACAGCAGTTGAACCAGGAATGAGCCTGGGACCCCAGCTGAGCCACTCTCCTGCACTGCTATATAGGGTTGCGGGGAGATTTGGCTCTTTCTGCTCCGGGGTTATTAATTTGGGGCAACATGAGCTGGAAACCCATCTTTCCTTGTAGCAGGTGAAAGAACGTGGGAGAAGCCCTCTGGAACAGACAGTGAGGTCACCAAGACAGAGAAGCAGAAGCAGAGAGGGGGAGAGGATGTAGCACTGAGCCTCTGGATCCAGCAATACCCAAATTCCCAATTATGGGAGCCAATAAGCCTCCCTTTTTGCTTGAGCTTATTTGAATTGGGTTTTGTTCCTTTGAAACCAAACAAGTCCTTGTTTAATTAATCTAGTCCTCTTACTCACACTGACATGAGTAGGCCTCTATCTAAGGATCCTGTCTGACTCTGGGTTCAGTTCCTTTAAGAACTTTCCCTAGATCCCTGTTTGGAAGGGTCAGAACTCCATCCTAGACTGTCCTTTCCACCCTCTTAGGCTTCTGGCCACTGTCTCTGTCTTCTCTGTCACACCCTGACCACTGGCTTGGTGCAGGGGTTCCCTGGCTCTCTGCATGCTGCACTTCCGCCAACACTTGCCCTCAGGGTTCAGCTCCTCTGCAGGTGGATGAGCTGGGAACACAGCCCTCCGCACATGAATCCAGGATCCCAGCCCCTGAACTGCTTATCCGGGGCCCCCTGACCCAGCAAGCCTGGTCCTGTTGGCTGGTCTTTAGCAGAAGCCACTTGTTCCATGAAGCCTCTCTTTACCCTTCTCCAGACCCCCTCTCCCCACACAGAAAACACAATAAGCAATAGCCTTGATGTGAGAAGAGTCGAGTTCAAGTTGAAGACTTGCCATTCCCTGAGCCTTCATTTCCGTGTCTTAAAAAAAAAAAGACTTTAAACATGTGCTTGGCAGAGCTGACAGGGAATCACATGGAAAGCTGTTTGGTAGCTATGATGGACTGTGTCCACATGAAGGGTCAACTGTTTGAGGCTTGGGAGGGTTTCGCAGAGAAGGACATCATTGAGACAGGGAATGGGTGGCCCAGGGAGAGGCAATGGCTTGTGGATAAGCATGGAAGTGTGAGAGATGCCTTAGGGAAATGGAGGGCAACACAGGGTGGCTCAGATGTAGGGTGAAGGATGGGGGTGGGGAGGGAGAACAGGCTGCAGAGGTCAGCCGGTGGCAGGCAGATCATGAAGGACCTTGAGGGACTTTTAAGGAGCTCATCACATGGAGGGAATGGGGTGGAGATTCTGGAGAGTTGACATGGTCAGACTTGCACTTTAGGAACATCACTCTGGCTCCTTAGGGACAGCCGGATGGCACCCAGGGCAAGCCTGGAAGCAGGAGGTAGACCAACCTGAGTTAGAGGTGATGAAGGCCAGGAGGGTAGTTTTCAGGAGATGGTAACCCAGGACCTGTGCTCCCCAAGGTAGGCAGGGAGCAAGACTCCTCCCCTCAGTGAGGCTTTGGCTGGGAACAGCAGCCCTAAGTTCTTGGGCTCCTGAGTCACCTCCTGAGGTTTATAGCTGCCCTGAGGCCAGGTCAGCCTCCTTCCTCTGTCCTAATTGCTTCCTGCCAAGGAAATTGGCCCCCTCCAAGTGTCCTTGAGAAAATCCTTGTTAATGCAATTGAGTGTTTCAGGAGGAAGCAGTCACCTCCAGCTGCCACTGCCCCCAACTCCCTCCAACAAACAGTGCCTCACTGGCCACGGCGGGTGGGGGGTGGTATTCTAAGAAAAACACGTCAACACTAATGCCATTCCAGGAGGTCACAGGTCCTGGGCTGGTCTCCTTGTGGATGGTGGACCAGGTCACGCACTACACAACCCCCTTGACCAGCAGGGCGGGTGGGACTGAAATCCAAGATCTGCTCCACTTGCCAACCTGTGCACCACGGCAGGCTGTATTTATTCAGAAGAAGGGGTATACTTTTCTCATTAGGCCAAAGGTGCCATCCACTGGCATACTTACAAGGCTGTTTACACTCGGAAGGGTGACTTTTCCTAATTTACACAACAGGCATCATATGGCCTAATTGTAATCCTGGCTCTTGGCTTTTCTCCCCACTCCCTGCCATCCACTTGTTTGGGCTCAATGATGCCTTCCACTGGACAGGGGGAGAAACTAAGTCCAATGTTGTCTGCCCTAAATTAGCTCTGCCCACAGGCCCACATATCAGCACCAGGTCATTGATGGATGAATGGAACAAGCCCCCCCCACCCCATAAGCCAAGCTCAACCAATCAGATTCGTGCACTTGAGAACTGAACTAATTGATGCAGACGGGAGTTGTCAGCTGTTGGAAAGTCTTGATAGAGTTGGGGACGCAGCCACTTTTTGAAGGGAAATCAAGGAAGTCTGAAGAGAAACTGAGGAAAGAACAAATGCCAGATGCAAATATTGCCAAAGGGAAGAGAGAGGCCCAGAGTGAAGAAGGGAGAGGCCCCGCTGCCATTTCCAGTTCTTTCGAGGCTCAGTCATTCTTGATTTTTCCCTCTTCAGGGTCCCTTGTAATCTGCCCACCCCCTTCTTTGAATTAGCTCGAGTGGGTCTCTGTTCCACGCAACCAGAGTCCTTGCTGGAACAAGGCCCTCATTCCCAAGGAGGTGACTGAGGTACCCCCACTGTTGAGCTGCCCCCAGGCCTCTTCTCCCCCTGTCCCACACCCCAGCCCTATCTCAGCTTAGGGAAGAGTAAGAGCCCTCAGCATGGTCACACCTTTTATTCACGGTCAGTGAAAAACACACCATACAGCACAGGGTTGAACAGTGAGAACAGTCACTGTGGCCACAGCCAGGAGCAGCACATGTGGAGGGGACAGGGGGCCATACTAGAAAGCGAGTTGGGATGCCCTCCTCTGCCACCCAGCTCCGCTTTTCCCCTCCACCAAGCAGGAAGGTTCCTACACCCTGGGAGGCCCAGTCCTGCCCCACCTTCTGGCAAAAGTAAAAGAAACCCTTGAAAATTTCAGGAAGAAAATTCCATATTTTTCTGAAACTTTGCAACTGTAGGATTTAAAGAATTTTTTTTCAAAAATGATAAATAAAATATGTAGGAAATGTATTCTTTCTTCCACAGTGATCTCTAATGTCAGAACAAAACCTCACCCAGGGTGGATCTTCAGGAAAATTTGTGGCTTTAGTAAATTTTTGTGTAAAAATATTTACAGCATCAGCTTACTACCCCCTGTAGAAATGCCAGCGTGCTCTCTCACTATCTTTGCTTTCTCTTCTCTCTCTCTCTCTCTCTCTCTCTCTCTCTCTCTTTCTGTAGCAGGATGAATTTCTACCTCTAGAAATTGGCAGGAAAAGATTCAGTGCCTTTGCTTATGGGCTTCCTTTTTCTTAACTTTGGATTCAGAGGCAAGTTATATTATCCTGACTACAGCTCAAAGGACTGGAGCAGCCATCAGACATAGACCTTGTTGATGATTTTTAGAGATAAAAAATAGGGGGCTTATCAATTAGCCCAAAAGATTGAGGGAGGATAGAATGCAGTTAGGAGGTAGATTCTGGAACCTTTCAATTCGGACTTGGTGCAAGAAGATACAAAACTTCAGAAGGAGAGTTTGAATATATCATCGTTTTCAAGGTCTATGTATTTTTGTGTGTCTGCGAGTCATGCTTCCATGACTCCTAACCTTGTGCTCTATGGCAAGTCACTCATAGGTGGCACAGGGATCAGAGGCCTGCCTCTCTTCTCAAAGCAGGGCTGGTGCTCTACCACAGGAGCCCCCGAGCACACAGTGCCTGGGACATCCAGAAGCATGTGGGAGCAAGGCCTGGCCTGCCTGTGGCTCCTCCCATCAAGAAGATGGTGGTCCTGGTTCCCAGCCTGGCTTTATGTGTTCACACTGCTGGGCTGTCTGAGACTCTTTGGCCTAACTGGCAAATATCACCCACGGCATATGTCTAAAAGCTTGGAATTATCAAACATGCTCTCATGGGTAGGACTTGCCCACCAGCTTAAGAAAAACAAGAATAGTTCTCCTGGGGAGGAATATGGTGGTAAAGACAGTGCAAGATGCTTCTGCGGTTCTGAGTCAGAGGCTTCCCAGGACAGCACTGACCTGTTAGCAGAGCTGCCCAGAAGCAGACAGAAGGTGCTTGAAAATGTTGGGAGTTCAACCAAGCTCCTTTTCTTTTTGGAAGACCACCGCCTCAGAAACTTCTTAGCAGGAAGCTTGTCAAAGACCAAAACTAACTTAGCTGGCCCCACAGTCAACTTTGTATGACTCCGAGTCAGAGAGATGAGGAGGGAGAGACTCTAAAGGAAGAAAGCCTCCTCGAGCCTTGGGTTCAAGTCTTGGCACCGTGCCATCCCCGACCGTTTGCTCTCACAAGGGATTCCCACTTTCTGTACCTCACTTCCCAAGTCTGGAGAGAGGGAATGAAAATCTCTATTTCCCCAGGCTGGGGGATAGGATGAGATGGAGTAGATGGCGGGCCTTTGAAAGCTGTGAAGTTCTGTGTGATTTTGAGTTAGGTTAGATTCAACATTTGGCGGGGGCAGGAATCCCACTTTGTGAAAAGCCTTTACCAGAAGTCTCAGTTGAGCCAGGCTGTAGAGTATCTGTGTGTCTGCGGTGCTGACTGGTAGCACAAGAACATCTAATGACCAGCTCTTTAGAGCAATGGAACATTCCTTGAGGCATTACTGGATAAAAATCTGCTGGTTACAGCCTGATGATATAAATTCCTGGCCTTACCACATGGCCAGTCATAGGCAGAAGATAGAAAGAGAGTGGCAACAAAGTGGCCTTGCTACCTCCAAGGGCAGCAAGAAGGACGGTCCAAGGGAGTTTGGGACCAAAGATCAGAGTCCCCAAGAGTTTCCACCTGCAGAGAGGGAGGACAGATGAGCACTCAGAAGAGACGTCACGTCTCTTTCCCGGAGATGCAATCTCGCACCGCTGACTCAGTGATCACTCCCTGCTCCTACCCTGGGCTGACAGCACCTGTGTGCTAGACTGTTTTCATCAGCAGTTCAAAAGGAAATCTGTCACTGTACATCGAAGCTAATTTCTGATCACAAGTACAGGAGGAAATAAAGTGAAAGGCTTGAAGAAGCTAGATTAATTTTCTGGCAGTCAAAGCATGCAGCTGTATAGCTCATTGACCAAAAGCAGAAAGCAAAGCCAGTGCACCTGGAAGATGATGAATTTACCTGGCAGGCTGAGGATTTGGGGTTAGAAAGAGCATGTCCCCAGCACATTTTTAGGCATTTGGTCCCATAAACGCAGTCTGGCAACCTAAACAGTCCTTTTCTCCTAGCTCCTTCTGTTTCTATAGCAGAAAGAACAAGCCCACCCTTGAAACTAGACCAAATCCAGAAAGGAACTACCAAGATGTGGAAGCTACCCTTGTCTCACACTCAGCAAACCTTGCTTTTTTTTTTTTTTTTTCTGTTTCTGAAGTCAGCATCCAACCAGGGCAAGTGCAGGATAGTTACTCAGTGAATTGAAAAAGGTCATTAAAAAGGAAGCAGCAGAAGCTGCTGATGGTGACACCTCGGGACTTAGTCTGATAAGAAAAAAGTGTTACTTGGTAAGTTTGCTGGTATTTTCCCTCTTTTTTTTTTCTCAGCTCTCCCTCACCGCCCCCCCAAGTTAGCATTCTCTATATTCATTTCATCATTTTACAAGAAACCCAGTAATATAAAGTATGCTTTAATATCCTAAATTAATAAAATGACTTTAGCTCTTTTAAAGGGTGCTAAAAAAATAAGTATTACATAAATATCAGTGTTTCTTTCACAAACCTTCCACTCCTAGACACCCAAATACTTTTCATTTCATCCCTCTGCCGCTCTGGGTGGAGCTGAGCTGAAAGATTTAATAGTTCCTTTCAAACTAACTGGCCTTAGCACACCCTCTGCTCAGCTGTGTGGGACGTTCCCATCTGAGACTCTGACCACTGGAAGTTTGCCTCATTTCCCTTAGGAGCTTCCAGAGGGCACAGAATGTGTCTTGTAAACTACCATAACCCTAGCACCTAGAGGTGCCTGGCATCAAACAGGTGCTCAATAAATGTTAAGTGAAGAAAGGACTGAATGAATGCTCCAAAGGCTGGGGCCGGAGGGGCCAGGTAGAGTCGAGGGGGCAGGGCAGAGACCACCTTCAAGGAATTTAGGTCCTCAGCAAAGGACAGACCCACTTTGGCCCTTTAACTGGGATCTGTGAGACCACATCCTGTAAACCATAATCCCAGGAAGAACAGAATTCCAAAGCAGACCCTCAGCCCCCCTTCCTCAGTCCTGCCTCTTGGGGCAAAAGCCAACTCCCTATGCCCAGTGGATGTTGGTTCTGGGCCAAGACTGGGGGTGGGGCTAGACCACAGAATACCTGAGGATCTGTCTCTTTTCCAGGGTGAGGTGGTCCCTCAAGGATCTCGACTGAGGGGAGCAAGGGCTTGGGCAGAGGGGTGGGTGGGCCAGAGAGTGAGGCTAGAGTACCCCTCCCCCTGAGAGATCAGTGGGTTGGGAGGTGGCCACGCCCCTCCTGGCCAGGGGCCCTGCCCCTCACCAGCCTCTACTTCTGCATGTCACATTGCAGCAGCAGTACAATGGATGGGTCACTCTTGGCCGCCTCCTTGAATTCCTCCAGCGTGATCTGGTCGTCCTTATCCTGGTCCATCTTCTTGAAGATCTTGTCCACACGCTGCTGGGGCGTGAGCCCATCTTGGTTCATGCGCATCATGATCACAGTGCCCACCATCTTGTAGATAGCCTGGTAAGGGTGGGGGGCACAGGGGGGGAACTGTGAACACTGACAGCCGGCAGGGATGATCAGTGATGAATGAAGGGGTCGGGGATGGGCAAGGCGAACACTGGGAGATGGTGAAGCTACTAGAAGGTGATGCATGCTCATTAAGACTGAATATTTAATGGGTATTTCCCATACATGTCTAAAATCCAGCTCTTCACCTCTAACCCGCTCTTCCAGTAGCATTCCCTGTCCTGGTAAGTAGCAAATTCATCTTTCTAGTTGTTCAGGCAAAAAAAACCTCAACACCATTCTAAACTCTCCCTCATGTCCAATCCTTCAGCAAAACTTGTTGGCTCAAATTTTGCAATAGGTCCCATATCCAATATCCAACCACTTCCATGGCTCCTCCAGAGTTGCTGTTCCCATCAGCTCCTGACTGGCCTGCAGTGGAAGCATCCTAACTGGTCTCCCTGCTTCTACTGCCTTCCTGCACCCTTAGTCTGTTCTCCACACCAAGAATAGAGAGCTCTAATGGTTTCCCATTTAGTCAAGTCTCAATCCCAGACTGTGAGAGGCTAAGTGATTGGGCTCCTGTCTGACTAATTCCTACCACTCTCCCCTCATTCACTTCTCTTGAATCCTAGCCTCTTGGCTACTCCTTGAACACTTGCAGAAACAGTCTCACCTCGGTGACTTTGCATTTACTGTTCCCTCTGCATAGAACACTCTTCCCGCAGACATTTACATAATTAGCTCCCTCACCTTATTCAGGTTGCTGCTCACATTTCACCCCATATACTGCTCCTCCATCCTTCTCTCTCCCCTTACTTTGCTTCTCTTCTTCATAACACTTTCTGCTTGACATAGCACAGGTTTTTTTTCTTGTTGCTTTTAAATCTTCTCACTAAAAGAGTGTCCAAATAATTAAGCAGGAACTTTGAACAGTGCCTGGCGCAAGGTAGCCACTCAGTACATATTCGATGAAAAAATAATGAGTTCGAAACTTAGGCTCTGGAGTCAGACTCCTTGGATTTGAATCATGAACCATTACTTGCTATGTTTCCTCCTCTGTAAAATGGGGTTTCTGTTAGTACCTACCCCATAGGATTGCTGGGCAAAGCACTTAGTACAAGGTCTGTCCTACACTGTGCACCCAACCAACGCTAGCTAGCCACTGGGTCCTGGGAGGCGGGGTGTGGGGACAGGTGGAGTGCATCCAGGATGCTCCTGAGGGCCGACAGGAGGGTGCCTGGAGAGGGCTGGAGAGGACCTGCCGCGAAGACAAGGAGGGGCATCACCCCAGCACAACCTGGCCTCCTGGATCGGCCCCAGCTCACCTCGATGATCTCCAGCATCTCGAGGCGCGTGATGCGCCCGTCGCCATCCAGGTCGTACATCTCAAAGGCCCAGTTGAGTTTCTGCTCAAAGCTACCGCGGGAGGTGACCGAAAGGGCACAGATGAACTCCCGGAAGTCGATGGTGCCGTCGCCGTTCTTGTCGAAGGTGCGGAAAGCGTGCTGCGCAAACTTGGAGGCGTCGCCGTAGGGAAAGAACTAATATGTGGAGGGAACGTTGGGGAGAAGCCCCAGCCTTGCTGTCCCCGCCCGCCTCCTCGATTGCCTGGCCCCGCCCCCACCCGCCCGGCCCGCCCCCTGGAGTTCCCTGGCCCCGCCCCCTGGAGTTCCCTGGCCCCGCCCCCTGGAGTTCCCTGGCCTCGCCCCCGCCGCCGGCCCGCCCACCTTGATGTAGAGCTGCTGGAACTCCTCCAGGTTAAGGATGCCGCTGGGGCAGTCCTTCAGGAAGCCCTTGTACCACTGCTTCAGCTCCTGCTCGCTGAACTCGGTGTTCTGAACCAGGTCCTCCAGCACCTCTGGGGCCAGCTTGCTGTTGGTCTTCCCCATGGCAGGGCCTGGGGGGCAGGACCTCCTTCAGTTCCATCTAGGGCAAGGCCCTCACCTCAGCAGCGATCCCCCAGGACCCCAAAGGACAGGGTTCCCTTTCTCCACAACAACCCCTCCCATAACAAACCCTACGTTTCCACAGCCAGGATCCATCCTTCCACAGCAGGGTGTGTCCCCTCCTGTCACCACCGCCCTCAACAAGCCCACCTTCCTAGAGCTAGGCCCTATGGTTCACACGCCTTCCGTAGGAGGTCCTGCCTCCTGGCCCCCACACAGGAGGGAAACTCTCCCCCCATCAACGCGCGCCCCACAATGGCAAGGGCTCCTTTCTCCACAGCATCACCCCCCTCCTCACAGCTGGTTTCCTCTCCCAGCACCTAGGATCTCCACCCCCAGGTCTCAGCGCCCCACCTTCTCCCTGATGGTGCTGATTGATGCACAGTCCTCCTGCATACCTTCCCTCTCCCGCGTACACCTGCCAGAGCTCCCCACACCCCTAGAACAGAGTCTTCATCGTCTCCTTGCAACTTAGAGCTTTTCACCCTCGGCCCCTAGCCACCTCTGCAGGCTCTTCTCCACCCAGGGACCTGAGGAAAGTTCCTCATGTGTCCCCCCGGCATCATCTCCCAAGTTCTCCCTCGAGGCTTTCGGAGCCACCCCAGCAGGAAGCTTCTCTCCCTCCTTCCTCTGTACAAATAGAAGTCCTAGTCGCATTGAAGGCCTTGACTCATCCTGCTTTTCATTAGTCATTCAGTCCCTGAGCAATTATTGAGGCTGACTGTGGGTGCTAGTCCCGTTCCATGATGGGGATAAAGTAGATACGGGCCAACCTTCAGTAACTCATACTTGGGTCAAAGAGGTGGCTGGCTGATTGTCAAGGGCCTTCCATCCATGCTAAGGGGCTTGGCCGTTACCCATAGGGATTTGAAAGCAAGGGCTAGGAAGATAGCATTCAGTGCACAAACAGACACTTTCAGCAGCAGGTCCTGAACTAGGTGCGGGGATGAGAGAGAAGGAATGTGTTTAGAATTTTTTTTTCCTTCGGTTACAGTATGCAAGACGGCCTGGGTGGCGGGAAGATGGAGAGCAGAGACGGGCCTACTGCATAGTTCAGGTGAGAGATGGTAACACGAGGGCAGAGGCCATGGGATGATGTGGATGGATTGAGACATGTTAGGAGAGGTAGTGGCAAGGCTTGGGTTGGTGACTGAATGTGGGGGGTATACAGAGAAGTTGAGGCAGACGCCTAGATTTGGGGCTGAATGGGGGCACCTGGGTGGCTCATCTGCCTTTGGCTCAGGTCATGATCCCAAGGTCCTGGGATCGAGTCCCACATCAGGCACAGGGAACCTGCTTCTCCCTCTCTGTGTCTCTTATGAATAAATAAATAAAATCTTAAAAAAAAAAAAAAAAGATTTGGGGCTGGATGAATGGAGGTGGTGTTGCTGAGAAGCAGGTTCTGTTCCCCACTGGAACAGAAGCTGCTTGTGTAGCCTGTGATGGAGGCAGTTTCTGCAGGAGGCATAGGACCTCCCCAGGATATATCGGGAGCGAGGCCCTGCCAGTCCCTGAAGGTGGACATTCTCGTCTGACCTCCATGGGAGGAATATCCTGAGTTTCCTAGGAAGCCTGAGATTCCTAGGACATGGCCCAAGAGGTAACTTTGACTTGTCTGGGGCCTCTCTGGAAGGGCACCAGACTCTGACCCCAGGGTAACCAATCATGAAGATACTCTGGAAAAGGAAGTCGTCGGGCCAGCAGAAGGATTCCACTTCCATAGCCTGCTGCATGCCAGCATGGTGGCTTCTCATCCCTACTGCTAGGAGTGCCCTGAACAACCAGATCTGAGATTGGTCTCTTCCATGCCCCCTCCCTTGCTAGGTGGCTTCCAGTTAGTTATAGGATATCTCTGGGCCTCAGATTCCTCCACGGGGCCTTGAGGAAGATCAAGTAGCAGCAGGAGTAGCAACATCCTCCCCCACCTACCACCACCAGAGGATGCGGAATCCTCCATGCTCCCAGGAGAAGCCGGGGAGGGGGAGGCATGCCATCTTCAGGAACCTGGAGGTGGAGTCCAGGACAGCTACACTGGGCACAAGGATGCTGGCAGTGCCTTTAAGCTATCTCCTTATTTTAGTGAAAACTGGAACCCGGAGAAAGGAGAAAGCTGGCTCAGAGTTACGTAGCAGGTCAGTGGAAGAGTCCAGATGAACACCCAAGCTGAATCCCTGCCACCCTCTCCAAATTATGGCTCCTCTCATCCAGAATAGACCTTCCCCACTCCTGCCTGCCTTCTGGGAAAACCCTAGCTCTGTTCTCCCTCTTGGCCTCTTACTGAACTCCAGGCCACCGTATCTGACATCTAGGAAATATCCATCCCTGGGGGTGACCCAACAGCTCCCCTGACTCCACTCATCTACAAGCAGACACCCTCAACCTGCGGCCATTGTCCCACTGCATCAACCTTTCCTTCCTCCCCTCCCTCATCCCAAGGGGGAAATGTGATCTTTGTTACCTTTAGTTTCCCCTCTTGCTTTTACCTGGGGCCAACTGGCACCAAGTTCTGTTGTTCTTTCCTTTGAAGCACTCCTGGAACCTCCACCGTGTCCTCTGTCTCCCCATCGTCAGGGCCAGGGGCACAGCCTAGGGGCTGAGAGCCTCCTGCTGCAATGCTGCAGGCTAAGCCATGCCCCTGGGCTCAGCTGCCTCAGAGGGAGTGCCTTTCTTCTGATTTCCCTGTTTTGAAGCAAGGCCATTTCTGGTTTTGGCCAGAAGTACGACATAGGCTAGAGGTGCACATGCCCATGAGGCCCCTCACACTCTAGAACCCTGTAAAATCTGGACAGGTGCCCACCTTACCTCCTGTTGCTCCCCTCACAACTACATGCTTCCCAGTTAGTCCTCACAGGCCAGGACCTGGCTCCCTCTCGCATAGCTGCCTTCCCCTCCCCTAATACCTTTCTTTCCATCTGGGCTGGTGCGGCTCTCCCTTAGGCCTGAAGGGCCTTCCTTATGATCAGCCTCCCCCCGCCTGGACAGTGGACAGTCAGCAGCACGGATTCAGTATTTGAGGGCTGTGGACCTGAGCCCCACAAGTGCGTAGACTCCAGAACTCTCTGACCCTCACCTGGTGCCCTAGAATTCCAGAATGGAACCTGATTTGGGAGAGATCTTTGTATGAAATCCCAGCCCAAGCCAAAAAAAAAAAAGTTCTTCAAGTCTTTTGCTCAATGGCAAAGGGCTCATGGCCTCCCCGTACAACCAAGTGTGCTGGGAGAGTGAGAAAAGCCCTCTTCCCATGGTCCCGAGGTGTGCCCTCTTGTAGCTGCCCCACACCGGTCCTGCGCTCCCCTCGGTGCCTGCACGGAACTGCCTGCAGAGCCCCAGAGGCCGTGTCTGGAACACAGAGACGTTCAGTGAATGTCCCCTGGTGGATTCCAGGGGACAGAAGCCCCTTCCTCCTCCTTGGGATGGCGGCAGTCTCCTGCCACTGCACCCAGCTCAGAGACAATGGAACCCAGACCTGGGGAAAGGACGGGGTCGCCCAAGGCCAACCGCAGCCCATCAGTACAAGGCCCAGGCCTTGGGGGCATGGCATGTTCTGTTGGGGCTGTGGCCCTGCAGGACATGGGCAGGCCTCTTTGCCCACCTCTGGAGGGCTGCCCTCCAGCTCTGAGGGAGGCTGGCATTGCCCCCCACCCAAAGCCACCACCCCTTTGTGCTCAGAGGTTCCTTCCAGAGGGCAGAGCTCAGGGTCGTGGGCTTCGTGGGCTTCGAATGAGGAAGTGACAGTGAGGGTGGGAGGGATTGAGGGAGGCGATAATCCCACACCCTCACCCAGCTTCAGAGGAGCTGGTGCTGAGACGGTTGCCATGGTGACAACAGCTCCCTGGTCAGGAGATTTTCTCTTTCCTCTCCTCCCTTTGCTCTCCTCCAAGCAGCAGCCATAGCGGCAGCAGCCAGGTCTTCTCCCTCTCCTTCTCACCGAGGGGCAGGGCATGATAAACAAAGCGTGTCCATGCCACATGGGCTGGTGGCCTGGGAGGGACTTAAAAGCAGCTGAGAAGGGGCCTAGGCCTGGAGAGCATGTGCGAGGGGGAGGCCCTGGGTAAGGAGCCCTGTCCCCTTGGTGAGGACTAACGCCCTCAGGCCCCTTCTATGAAATGTCCTCATGGCTCAGGGTAATAGTGCAATGGTTCCGTTTGCTCGTACTCAGCCACAGAGCCAGAGCGTGTCAGCATTGGAAGGCCTTTCGAGATCAGCTCCTCCTATCCACCCTCTGTCCTGCCCCTTCCCCATTTCATGAAGGATCAGAGAGGGAAGTGACTTGGCCAAAGGCAAACAGCAGCTGAGGCAAAAACAAGCTTTAACCCAGCTCTTCTGCCTTCCAGATTCAGGCCACCTTAGGGAATAGAGTGACACAGTCCACATGGAGCTTTGGCAGGTCCTTGTGGAACAGCAGGAACATAGAGAGGGAGCGGCTGGGTGCAAGAGGGCCAGGGAGGATCCAAATTAGAGATGTTTGAGGTAGAATAAGAGGACTTGGCGCCTGTGAGGGGTGAGGGGAGAGGGGACGGCGGGGACCTTGGCAGCAGGGACAGACTGGTGTGCTGGGGGGTGGTGGCCCTGGCTCATCCGAACAGGGGGCCTCTGCTTAGCCCGGGGACCATGGGGTGGGGGTGTTGCTGTTGAGAGAGCGTGAGGAGGAGAACTGGGAGCGGGGGAGCTTCTTTCCTCCCCCAGATATGCTGGGAGCTCTGTCCGCCTGAGGGGTGGGAGGTGGGGACAGTGAGAGGGACAACGGGAGGTGGGAATAGGCCCTCTGTGGAGGTGGGGCCGTCTTGGGGGGCAGGGGCCTGGTGATGTGAAGTGCACAGCTAGCTGCTGGTGGGACCGGATGGTGTGGGTGGGGGCTATCGGTGGAGGTGGGAGGTTGCCGTGATGCTGGGCCACTACCCATCTCCAGAGAGGAAGGGTGCTCGGTGCTTCCTCGAGCACACCCCTAGGTGTGTGTGTGCGTGTGGGTGTGGGTGTGTGTGCTGGGGGTCAGAGCAGGGGGTGTTCTTACCTGAGCTGGGGGTAAGGAGGCGGCTGTGCCTCCCGCCCTGGCACCCGAGGGACCTGGACAGGGTGGGAATCCCCTGCCCAGGGGCGGCCCCCCAGACGCCGTGGGGGAACCGGGGGTCAAGGGGGGCAGGAGAGGGGAGCGGGAACGGGGAGTGGAGGGGGAGGGGACAAGAGCCTCTGCCCGGCCCCGCCCGCGTTACCTGAGGCCGCTCGCCGGGTCGCTGGATGGCCGTGAGCCTCGGCGGGCCGCGAGGACCGAGACTGGCTCGCGGGCTGGCGACCAGGCTCTCCGAGGTCCGCACCGGAGCCGCCTCCCAGCTCTTGTATGCTCTGTCTCTTCGAGGCGACACGATTTGCATAAGCCCCGCCTCACCCCGGGCAGGTCGGGCGCTGATTGGCTCCGCTGGGGCGGAGTGGCAGGCGGGGTTTCAGGTGGAGACGGGATGGCCAGTGAGGCCCGGCTGCCCGAGCGCGCCCCGCCCGCCCGCCCGCGCTGACCTTCTCCGAGTCGCGAGGAAGTGGCGGCGGGGGTCGGGGGGGTGCTGTGCCCCCAGCGGTGCCCCGCCCTGGGGTTCAGGGCCCGGGCCGCCGTCTGGGGCCAAAAGTGATGATTGAAGTGGATTCGCGAAAACAACCGCACGGTTGCTGTGGAAACGGGAGAGCCACAGCCGAGTCTCTAAGCCCTTCCCTTCCAGGGCCCCAGCCGGGGGTGCGGATGGAAGAGGGGATGAGTCACAAGATGGGACCCCCTCCGTGTCCCACCCGAAACGGGAGGAGGGCGACGAGGAGCTGCCGAGTAGCGGAGCGGGGTTGGGGAGAGCTGGGGGGGCGGCCCACGCCTTCCTCGCCCCCGCAGCGCACCCGCTGCACCGCGGGACCGGGCGGAGGTGGGGGCGCCGGAGCGCAGCCCTACCTGGCCCCACGCTCGTCGTGGGCCCCCGACAGCCCCTAACGCCCGTCCTCTCCAGACGGGCCTTGCTTGTTGCTCACGGACCCCCCACCCCAGGGGGGGCCGCTCGGGATCTCCTCCAGAGGGTCCCGCTGCCTGCCCCGCGGACCCTCCTTTCCCCACCCTCCCACCTTCCCGTCCCGCAGACGGAGCCGGTCCCCAGCCGCCGCCAGTCTCCAGTCTCCGGCCTCGGATGTTGACACAAGCCCGAGGCGGTTTACACTGAGTGGGTCTGGAAGGTTTCAGGGCCCCGGGAACACCTCTTCCCTGCACTTGGGGGTCTCCCCAAAGCCCGGCCGGGCTGCCCTGGCTGCTCTGGCAGCTGAGAACTCCCGACCCAAGGAGGCGGGAAGGAACCCTTTGATTCCGACTTGGGGGGGGGTTGGGCTTGGGGGGGTAGGGGGAGGAGAGCTGGTCGCTCCCTGACCGAGCCACGTGCGGGGGAGGGACTTCTAGGCCGCTGTCAAAAGTGGGGCGGGGCGTCTGGGGATTGGCCCAATGGGAGCCGGGATGCTGAAGAGCCGCGGCGGGAAGAGGCCCGGCAACTGGCCAAAGAGCAAAAGTTGAGATGGTCCTGACGATGGGGGACGAGGACAGACAGGCCAGCCAAGAGTGGACAAAACCCCCGGGGCCAGGCTCCCTGGGGAGGAACCAGCCGACGTCTTTTTTTTTTTTTTAAAGGAGCTGTCCCATTCCCTCTGGAACCTGTTTTGCGGTGGCGTTCTCCCGGCTGCAGGCTGTCTTCTCTCTGGAGCCCTCACCGGATGACAGCAGTACCTGGGCCTCCAGTTAGCTGGCACCTCGCTGGCCCCTTGGCTGATGATTCACAGGAACAGGTGTTTGGAAAGCCCTGACACTGTCACTTCCTGAGCACCTTCTCTGCTGTGGGCCCCGGGGACCTAGGGATAGGCAAAAACTCACCCCTGTTCACAGTGACACGGATACTATTATGATCCCCATATACCAGATGAGGAAATTGAGGCTCAGAGCACTTAAGCAACTAGCCCAAGGTCACAAAGCTAGTAAAGCGGCAGAGCTGGGATTTGAACCCAAGCAATCTGCTCCAGAACCCACACTCCTAGCCAGAAAACAATAGTGCCTCTCCTTAAGATTTTTCAAATCCTTAAGTGCAGAAACCTTGGTTTGGGGTATTCTTTGCTGATCCTCCAAGCCATGAGAAAGGCAAAGCCCAGCCTGTTGGGAACAGCTTCTCTGACTCTGAGGTGGTCAAGACATAGTAGAGCTGGTAATCATGAAAGCAAAAAGAAGCTCCTCTGAACTGCAAGAGGGCCAGAGTGTGGCTGCTCCTGACTTCCCGGTCCCCCACCCTGGAATCCCAGGTGAACAGAGAAGGCAGGCAAGCGGCAGTTGGTGAAGCAGGACATGTTGGTCTTGTTCTAGCTCTTTAAACCAGGTACGACCACCCATGCAGCCTCGCCCATGAATCATCTCAGGTGTCTTGACTGTTCCTGAGCTGCCAAGCATAACCCATCTTCACCTGCTTGTAAGACTTGAGACCCTGATCTTGATCCTGCCTCAGCCTTTAGGTTTGATGTGTAAAACAGTTGACATTGACCGAGTTGCTTCACTATGTACTAAACTCTCTGCCAAGTCCTTTGTCTGTATCATCTTACTTAGTCCCACAGATGACCACTGCCATTAAAAATATCTAACAATCCATTCAGACGTGAGCATTGCCAATCAAAGTGGATGCTGGCCTTGGTGCTAGACCAAAGACTTAGTAGGTCTCTGTCCTGCCAAGAGTTAACCCCTCAGTTACTGGATCAAGGGGAATAGGCAGGAGAAAAGCTAGGGATGGGGTGGGGGAGCCCAAGGTCCATGGTTCTTCGTTTACAATCAATTTGGAAGTATTGTGGTGTTTTAACGACCAATTCAGCTGTACCTGGGACTGAAAATCAGCTGTGGTATCATTACTTTATTTCATGGCAGTGGATGTAAGCTCAGAGAGGTTCAGCAACTGGCCCACTGTCATACAGCTTGTTAGCAACAGAGCTGGATTCCGATCCAGGTCTGATTCCAGAACCCACACTCTTATCTTATCTTATGTGTTTCTAGGAGGAGGTTGTTGGGATTTCCACTTTCTATGGCTAAAGGCTGAGCCAGAAGAATGTGATTTAAGTTCTGACTTTTGTTGTGGCCTTGGCTATTCTCAGGCTAGGAGCCTTGACAACACCTGTTCCGTGCTGCTGAGGGAGTGGACCCTGCCCCTGCAGAATGAGGAGTGCAGAGCAGACTGCCTGGAAAGGTGTGCATGTGTGGGAGGACCCAAAAGGGGGCACAGAGGGAAATCCCAGCAGGGTTTCCATTAGGTCAGAGGTCTGCAGGCTATGGCCACTTCATTTTGCTTCCTGAAGTGCAAGCCTTCCTCACACTGGGTACCGCCAAGGCCTTTGTGATGGATAACACCTCCCTAACTCCCTGGGTTTCCTCAGCCTTGGCCAATGCAGCCTGGTGACAGCTAGGATTCCCCTGGGTCCTAGATATTTCACAGCCTTTGTGGCTGGGAGACAGTGAGATCACCAGCTTTGGACTCCTTCCCTCTCCCTTATTGGCTAAGCAGGACTTTTTTTTTTTTTTAATTTCCAAAATAGAAATCTGTTATCTTTTTTCTTTTCCTGTTAATACATGGTAGCTAAAAAAAAAAAAAAAAGATACTAAGAGAAAGGAAGTTCCCTCTGCAGTTCCTCCCTTGAGTGTTACCTGTTACCTGCAGGGGACTTTGTGTTTTGTCCACCCTTCATTCACCTTCCTCTGGAGAAGCCCTATAGGTGTAGTGGGTTAAACATGCAGACTGTGGAGCCAGGCTGCCCGGGTTTTCATCCCAGCTCTATCACCAGCTGTGTGACCATGGGCAAGTTACTTAACCTCTCTGTGTGTCAATAAGGATAACAATAACAGTCCCCACATCAAAGGGCTACTCTGAGGACTAAAATGAGTTAGTTTGCGCAAAGGGCTTAGAACAGATTTTTGCTTTGGGGAATTACACAGGCCTGACTGTGTGCAGTCTTGATTGGAATTATCAGTCTGGGTGTCCTGCCTTCCTGTGGACAAGGGCTCAGCATGTGACTCAGGTAGGGGGCTAAATAGGCACTCTGTCCCCTGCCCAAGCTAATCTGAATCTTGAGTAAAGCAACCCAAGCATGCTAGATGGTTACCACTGGTTTATTCCAGGGCAGTGTTCTGGAGACTGTCCACTCATTCCTCCTACCTGACTCCCCAGGGGTGACTCTGATACACATCCTTTCCAAGACCTAATTCTTCTTCTTTTCCTCCTACATCCTTCTCCCAAATCAATCAATCTACGTATCATCTATCTATCTTATCTTCCTTCCTTTTACAACTTAAGTTATCTAGAGGTGATTTCTGCTTGCTTGCAGAAAACATATATGAGTTTGGCATAGTTCTCTATCAGTTATGACTCTTGGTTGCAAGTAACAGAGAATCCAGCCCACAGTGGGTTAAGCAAAAAAAAAAAAGAATGCAGTAAGAGAAAACCCAGGAGTAGTCTGGACTTTGGGGATGGCTTGATTCAGGGGCTTAAACAGTATAATTAATATCTGACCTCTTTCAAAGGCGTGGCTTTGCTCTTCTGTGTTGACTTCATTCTTGAGACCCACATAAAGGCAAGCTATCTGCCAGCTTGGCCAACACACTCTCAGGCTGGAGTGCCACAGAAAAAAAAAGAGAGCTTCTCTTCCCCAGTGCTGGCAGCCAGTACCCTGGGCTGGTTCTCATTGACCTGGCTCAGAACCAGTCACTGAAAACAGGGGATCTGGTGCTCTGATTGGCCAGGGCTGAGTCACTTACCCACGCCTAGATAAGGTCAGCTCCTCCCAAAGCGTGTATACCCAGGGAAGATGGATGTTCTTACCAAGGACAGCAGAAGTTCCTAAATTATAAAAACACACAAGCTATACTATCAGGATGCCAGCAGGAAACAGATGGCACTCAAAGAGATGACTGAAGATCGGTCAGTAGGGGAACTATTTGCACAGTTTTGGGCCGGGTTGAGAGAAATCCGTGAGATATTATCAAGCACTCGGACCAGCACCAGTGGAGAGCCATTACCACCTCCAGGCCTCCAAGGGCGAGGGGAGGAAGCAAAAATCTGTTGCTGTAGGAGGGAGTCTTCTAGGGAGAGTTGTGGCCTCTGGTAAGGAAACAAACACAGCATTGCCAACACATGGCCTAGTACAGAGAGACTAAGTGTGAGTGGAATAAATGCCTTGACATCCTTCTATTCCCATGTCTCATAGGTCTCCTACTTATGTCTCCCAATGGCCAAACCCAACTGGAAGTCAGAGGGCAAAGAAGCCCAACTGATGCAGTCCCCA